TCACGATGTTTTCGCTCACCCTTTGTCAATGGTATCTAGATAATTAGAAAATACATATAACTCGGAAAGAATAACATTGGTACTCGCTGTTAGTAGGCTTCGAACTTGCAGTCTCATGCAGCAGACATTATGAATATGTTTAGGTACACAAATTGTAGAATTCAAATGTTCCCTATTTTTCAGCTGTACAAGTAACAACATAAAAGTAAGGTAATACTGCTAATGCATCACCTAGGTATATCTCTTAGCAGGAATTTCTCACACTCCGACCTCCACTTAATAATGTCGCCCACACCCCCAGTTATCATGATAAAGGTGTTAGCTCTAATGAAGATAAGCACTAAGACAGTGACGCATTTATAAACCTAATATCTTTCAATTAACATGCTAAATACCTATATTCAGTAATATGGTAGGTTACCCAGTAAATCGGATAGTAAGCACTGTCTTATTATTACACTCACTATCAAATTGCATCTTTATCATCCGAGTGATAAGAGTGGTTTTCGTGAAAATTTGCGGCTGAATTTGACTATCTGATGAGTATTTATTTTGTAATGGTAACGTTTAGTTGACTAGTTACAGTGGCAATGAGATAAATACATATGTATACGCATCAACAGTCGTGGAGAACCTAACGGGTAACCGGGGCTCCGGCTCGACGTGCAGGAGAAGGAACGGGGTGGTTTTTAGTCAGTAAGGGTCTGACACTCCCTTCCGCCTCACCCAAGCGGGAGCAGTCATTCGATGCTTTTCCCCCCTTAAAAAAAAATACGCATCAACAGCCCCTCACTGACTGCTGCTGGATATGGGTCTGCTCTTCTGCTCTACATAATACTATAATCTCCATACTTGATAGGCGATGGTAGAGATCACAGTTACGATTCAACTTTACCAGAGAGTGCAGCTGCGTCTCTTGGTTCTTGCGATACGTACCCAAGGGAAGAATAAGGTTCGTGACAGTTATATTCTCCTCTGCCATCGGTCACAAAGCTGGCCAGAGCCGCATTATCCGTAAGGCAATCTAGCCATGGAACTGGACGCCGAAAGAATTAGGGGCGCCTATATGGTACTTGTCTAAAATTCTCTTTAGGTTTAATTCGCTTCTGGGGGTGGCTAACTATCTTATACTATTACTATAGCTTCTTCCGCGCGGGTTCATCCGCTCTACTCGGCTCATTTTGATCGTATTGTGTTGTTCAATAGTCTACAGCCTTCCTTGATACACCCACTATGTAATAGAAAAAGAATTATTCAGATCGGAGCAGTGGTTCCCGAGATTAGCGCGTTGAAACAAACAAACACTTCAGCTTTACTAATAAGTATAAGATATAAGATTAGCAGGTACTGTGGCTGTGCCATTTAAGGAGTAGTAAGTACATAACATCACATCTTTTATCCCCGAGGGCGTAGGCATTATGCCACTGTACTTACAATGTAACACCCACTTTTCACTATTTATGTTACGAGTCTCATGTAATACGGGGTGAGCCTTTTGCCATATACCGGGCACAATTCCAGACTTCGTGCTACTACTGAGAATTTATAAAAAACCCAGTAATACTTTGCCCGACCCGGGAATCGAACCCAAGACCCCTTGCCCGGCAGTCGCACATGCGACCACTCGGCCAATGAGGCAGTCAACGTGTAGTAAGTAATATGACATTTAACAGAAACAGGCCATATGGGTCAACATATAAGATAGCAATAGGTTGGCTGTGTAATTACTTACATGGTACTAATCGTGTAATACTAATTAAGATGTTCAGCCTCCTCCGACAACAAGTGACCTGGGTCACTGATTAACCTACACGGTAATTAAATGGTTACAGAAATTTAATGTTTGCTCGAAAAGCTCTTCAAACGAGTACCTACCTGAGTCCTAGGTACATAGGGACGAGATAATAATAGATTAAAGTCAAATAGATACCTATCGAGAAAAAGCTTTTGCGACAACATAAGATAATGACGTAATTTGAATAATAAAGAAAATTTATAGGAATATAAAATTCTTAGTAGGTACCTAATATATACTTTCAGTGTTTAACCAATATTACTTTCACAGTTAAAAACTTCACATCTACGCAGGTGCCAATCATTTAAACTTTAACTACCTATACCTACCCTATACCGGCTAAGTTCCCAAACATTTTTATCGACAAATATTATTTAGAAATGTATAATAAAGAATACTTTACCTTGGAGTAGTGGAGTAGATGTGAAGAGCTTACATCGTCGAGTCACAGGTCAACCGCCCACACATAATACGCAATAGAGAATAGACCACATACCGATCGGAAAAATGGCGGCTATATTTTATTTGTGGAAAATACATTTTTATAATTACCTACAAGTTTGAAATTACAAATTACATACCTATCTGTAGTCCACCTAATGTGCACTCTGGGTGCACAGAGTGTCATCATCACCTTCATGCGAAGCTCCAATAAATAAATGAATATTTTCATCAGGTCTGATGGCCCACATGGAACACTTTTCGACAGTTTTTAGGGGCGGTACATAGACAAGAGAAATATTTACATATCGAGTACATTTTATGAAAATCGACAACAATCCTTATTTATTTAATTATTAGATACGTACCTACTTGCCTACCTATATCATTTTTTAGTTATTTAAATAATTTTAATGATGTTTTTACTTTATGTAGGTACTGACCACCTGTACACTTTTAATACCTACCTAACAGCCTGATTAGCACTATGTATGAAATTAATCATAATACCGTAATGTTTTCGCGACTGGCTGCCACGCTGGGCGCGGTTTTATAAATGGCGTTAATTACTTAATCACACGACACTTTGTGACCGAAATATGGATGACATTCTGCTTTTTGGCTAACGTTGTCACAATCTTGATTTTGTTCATATTTTTAGTGAGTACGAAGGTAACTTAGCTACCTACCGACAGAACCACCGATTACTTAATAGTTACTACGTAAATAGAACTTTTAAAAGTACCTACCTACCTAAGACTTTTAATCACTATCACAAACAATAGTATTTCTACTAGATATATAAATACTTAAATCAGGTAATATTAGTGAAAATAATCGGGCACTAAGCTACTAATATTGGCCTAACCTTCGTTTAAACTGCAATTCTCTCTGCCTATTTCCTAAACAAATTAACTGCTACGCAAACACTATAAATGCCAAGCCTATAATTTCTATTTATCCACCCAAACAGCCGAACAGCTACAACTTTCCTAACGCAATATCTTTATAGCTGAATAATTAGTGAGTTAATAAAGCAACGAGTTAATTTACATCACACCGACGTCTTATTAAAACTTAACAAAGAGGAGAAAAGTCAAGAAATCCGTGTTTAAACAAACATATGATCCAAGTACCGTATTAGCTGCACACTTCCTCAATTAACAAGTATACGGAGGCATACTAGAATATAATTACAACTGCAGTAAATGTGCTCCGTAAACAACTAACACTCGTTCGGTTTGACGCACCAAACGTTTATAATAACATCTTCTAAGAAACCTTTAGGTGGTCGCAAACATTAGCTTTGTTTGAGCGCCAATTTGGACTGGCCGAGCATTCACACTGGCAAACATAACTCTCTCTGCAAAACACGGTAAAATCACCCTTTTTTCTAGCTACAAAAGAGTTAAAGCCTTGTCAAAGGAAAGCAGTATTCATGCTCTTAAATTTTAATTGCGAAACACAGCGGACGCACACGTCTTGTGTATTCGCGAATGTGTTAATTCAAAGCAATGCAGTATGCTTTTAATATGCACTTATATGGCGTGCACATTCCTTCACACTGAGTTTGTTGATAAAAGCTTACTTTTGTTCGAGATACAAAGACATTCTGTGACTCAATGCAAACAGTGGATATGAAATGTGTTGCTTTTATTTTTTATCAGGCGCGAGGTACAGCTAACTTGATAACTTTTATAATAAACTGAAGTTCATTTTGAACTGATCTTAACCCGTCGAGCGTCCGCGTTCCTTATGATCCAACGGGTGCACACGTGACATTTGGAGAAAGAAAGAAAGAAAACATTTATTTGGCCATTGGCACACGAAAACAAGGATCATTACAATAGAAATAAAAAATACAGTCAAAATAAAAACAAAACATTAAACTGTCAAACACCAAGCGGTCACCGGTGACCGCAACCTATTGTTCTTTAATTGTGTCTATAAATACGGTACTCGACGAGTTAATAATAGATTTTATAAAAGAGAAAGCAGCATGGAGCATTTTTTCTTATGATCCACCGGGTGCTCATAGTCATAAGGACGCTCGAGGGGTTAATTAGATGTGTTAAATACCGATAAGCTCACAATAACCTAACAACACGCGACGACATATAAAACGGCTTCAGTGTTCGTAAATAACGAAATGGGTAATAAGCGAATAAAACAATGCTTTATTAAAACTTAATTATTTTTTATTATTCACTTACAACTAAAATTTATTCTAATTGAACTGTGAAGTATATTCACAAAAGATCTTGTTACCCGGCTGAGTGGTTCATGACTTTATATCCAGTAGTTCATTGAACAAGTATGCTATTTACAAAACCAACAACATTTCTAGACATTTTGGTTTCTTAGGTACTCACACATTATTATTAAATATGCAATTCATTCGAACAAGCGCTAAATAACAATGACAAGCTTAGGATGCAATTTATAAGTCTCAACATCTATAAAGCAAAGAAGCTCTTTCGCACCCGACATCATACCATATCAGATGTTTATTGTCATTATGATAATTTAATGCCTTAAGAATACCATGATTCGTGTGCGAAAGAGCTAACAATAATTGGGGCAATTGGAATCCTATGGATAAAGAGAAAAATTTCACAACACCACAACAATCTTGAAATGCTTGCTCCTCAACATGGAAATGAATCATTCGTTGAAATCGTCAGTCAGTGTTCAGGAGTCCAATTAAACTACACTGTCTGGATACAGCCATTTAGTACGATGTCAGCCGGGCATAGTCCACTTCTCATTTCGGTTTAGTTTCTTGGTCTGTGACATATCTAATGTAGATGGTATCTTCTGGTTTCGGGTCCTCTATTTGTGTCTCATCAAGTTGGGAACAAGCAATTGCTAATGCGGATCCGTCGTGGGAGAAGCTTAAAGATGAGACGGCCGTGTTGTATCTATGGAATTGACACAGCCTCTTCTTATTGAAACCGTCCCAAATGTTGACGTAACCATCTGAGCCACCAGTTGCGAATGTATTGTACACAGAATGGAAACTGATTGCATTTACTGGGTAGATTTTTTCTAAACCTGCAATAAAATTAATAAAAATTTATATCATGACGGATTTCATGCACCATACTATGCTCATAAAAGCCCATTCTCTACTATTTTATAAAGACTGACTGTATATTACATAAACGCACAGTGAAGGTTTAGCTAGATGAAACCTTAAAATTCATTACTAAATTTAGTTATTCTCAATACCTAGTGTGATTACAATATAAAAAATAATGCAAATCAATAACATTAACCTCCATCCTTGATCCGATGACACTTGAAAGCATATTTTTTCTTCTGCACCTCAGGATTACTGTCAAGATACTCCACGGCCACCCTACCCTCGATGGAGCTGAGAACATAACCCTGTTTGTTAGGGAACACTCGGATACACCGAGTCTGGTACTTGAGAGAGGATTCCCGTCTTTGGTTAACATGTCCCATATTTCTTACGTCCCATACGAAGATTTTGCGGCCAGATGTGCCTACCACAAACTTCTCGCCCACTATGCTCATTGTGTATACCTGGAAGCAAGTTGGTAAGTAATATAAAACCATGCCTGTTTTACTTGAAAGAAATAAAATGAAATCAGTACATAATTTACCAGTGTTGCTAATAAATTGACATGATTTTTACGAAAAGTACATACATTATATTGTAATAAAAACTGATAATATTTTGTTTGAATAAAATAAATAAAGACTTCATATAAAAATGTAGTGGCATCTCAAATATCTTACCCTTTCATTTCCCTGGTTATAAGTTCCAACACAGTTGGGCACACGACTGTCCCACATTTTGACAGTGCCGTCCCAACTGCCAGTGAGAACAGCATTCACTTCAGATGCAAACTCCACACATCGGATCGCACCTTTATGTTCCCCCAGTATAGTTTCCATACTAGCATTCAGATCGTACATTTTAAGAGTCTGATCTAACCCACCGCTGTATGTATGAACAGCATCCTGGAATGAAACAAACATAATATTATTAACTTGTAAAACCATCAAAAATACATCAATACTTGTAAACGCGTAACCGCCACTGAATTAATTGATAACAACTACTGTTTCGACATCACAGCCAGTCTCTAAACTAGCAAAAACAACTGAACACTTACCCGAAAACAGACGTCCAGGACAGGCAGTTCATGGTTGTATTTATGACGCTCCGTGTTCGATGTGACATCGTACAACCTTACAGAACAGTCCCATGAGGACACCAGCAAGAATTGATTGGATTTAGGAGCAAATTTAACGCTTGATATAGCATCGTCTGGTAAGCTCTTTAATTTAAACTCGGTGCGGGACTCCGCCACCCGCGTCACTGTCATTGTGGAAGCAATTTTGTTGGCTAATTTAAAATATCAAAAAAATAAAAGGTGATCTTCTTTAATGAAGAATAACACTGTTTTAATGAAAATATAGCGGGTTAACCGCAAAGGACTCCTGCCGTCAGCGACAAAGCAGATTAAAAATGACAATTGACTACAAGTCTGCCAGTTGCTTTGTCAGTTTGACAGAGGGTTGACATAACTTACGAGTCACGAGATAAAACTAAACGTATATTCTGCTATAAAAATAAATAATAAAATAAAATAAACCCTTATTTATTACGTTGATTTCAGCACTAACTTTATTCCTTATATTGAAACCGAGGAAATTACTGTTTTCTTTAAAAAACACGACGACGTAACGATTTCGTTACTTTCTATCATGGATAAGATACGACATAAATGTGAACGCAGCAAAATAATAGTACACAATCCACAATCAATTATATATTTCTAATCCAATATTGTCAGAAACCTAACTAATCATTCGCATTAATTTACTATTTTTAATTTTTATTTTTTGGAGAAGCGTTACTGGAAAGCAAAATAATAATTTTATTTTAAAACCGGATAAAGTTCTGTACTTAGTACAATGTTAATATTATGAACGCAACTTTATAATTGACATGTTTGTGATGAGGTGTGAATCGTAGAAAGAAATCTCCGTCTCGCAGAAATGATTTCACAAAAATCCATAGTTCCATAAAGTTTTGTGATGTTCTATTTGTGCTGCATCAATACGAGTACACAATAATACGATAACAATATAACAGTGCCTCATTAAGTAATATAAATGAATATTAAACCACCGTGCAACTAAGTCGGTTCCGAAAGGAACGAATGGAGTGATCAACTTATGAAATAACGATGCAAACCAACTCGAAAACTAAAGAAATGTTTATAGTCAGAGCTTTAGAAAAGATATTGGCTGATAAGGACATAAAAAGGTCCTACCACAGCCAATTGAAAAAGTCGTGCGAAGTCGCTTTAGGTAAGACCTGCTGACATTTCCAGCTTTGGGTAACAATAATGTTACATATTTCATAGAATATAAGTATGTATTTATCGTTTGTCACTAATTAAATTAGGATGTCCGATGCGATAGTTTTATTGTTATTGATAATTTATTAGATAGTGAATGTATTGACCTTGGTTTTAAAAGTCGAAACATACTTTACGTTATCATAGATTCTTGTGAAGTGTTTTCGACACAGTATCGAGTCGAGGTGGATCGAATGTCAGTGGTGTGTGTAATTTGTAGATGACCTACTATGCTTGTGTTTTGTATAAAATATGAACAATGTTCACCAATAAATACCTGTTACTACTGTTGGGTGAGCTTAAATGTTGGTGTGAAGTCTTATAAGTACATACATTACATCATAGCTACTTGTGATAACACATCACATCTTTATAAGTATATAGCAATACTAATTTGTTAAATGCATTGTGTATCAATTTGATTGGTCTTTTCCATGTTTACTTCTTTACAAAATTGTTGAACTTAAACTATCCGCAATATATCAATCCTAACCAAATCTAAAAATAGCAGATCTATAATAAAAATATTGTCTAATGTACACACACACTGTCTATGTAGAAAATAACAATAGTATTTAACTACCTATATCCTAGTTGCTTATTCTGTGTGCCATTCAATAACACACTTAGTATGCATTCACGCTTCCTGTGTACTATGGTATTGTAAGTACTATATTATGTATATAGACACCAAACATGCATGGCTTCATTTATATTTTAAGTGTACACCTAGTAGGAAACAGCGCCATTAAAAATTTATGCTAATCTAGCTTACATAACAGTATACATTGTATTGTGTTTATTTATTTCTTTAGTGCATATTTTATTGGAATATTCCAAGCAATTTTATTGTAATTTACTATTTTATTACCACTTATTACTATTAGCATGATTGAAAAAGTATGAAACTAATATTGTGACGAACATAATTAATTTATCCAAGTTTTAATTTCAGTTTTCCTTTTAAAACTCAGTTTTATTATTTATGTTACTATGTAACTTACATTTCAGTACATTTAGCTTTTAATTTTAAAAAAACCAACATTACAAAATAGGTACCTATATCTCCGATTGCCTTATCAAGGAATATGCAACTACAAATGTATTCTTTATAGATTTCTTAAACTTGAGAGATTTACCTAACATTTTGCTGGTAAGAGAGTTAGCATCTCCGAGATACTACAGAATTGTATTCAGTACACATAAAATTATAATCCTATTTCTTTCATTTCACTAACAGATTAAAATATTAAAAACTTTCCTAATACTTTAACAAAGCCAAAAAAGTTTGTTATAACTCCACACTGAACATAGATAGGCAAGTTTGTTTATACAACTGAAAATGTACTCTCTTGCCGTTTGTTTAGTGCTAAAATACTCAAATCCAGTTACTCTATGCTTGTAACCTCTACCCTAAAAAGGAGGTTGTATTCTCCGTTTAAGGAGGCTTATGCTTTAGAGGTCTTATATTGTGAAGGTCCTTTTCATGTCAATAATGCTCTAATATATTTATTCATCTGTATATTGTTCAATTTACTGACATATTAATTGTTATAGGTAATTATGAGTTGAATATTTGTACAAAATATTTTCTTATCCTGTTACACATCTAAAATTATCATTTAAAAATTAGGGACATAGCCTGTTTCAGTTTCTGATAAGAACTTGTTAATAAATGTTTTTAATTTAATCTCAATATTCTTATCGTTTCAGCTATGCTACCCATTAAATAATTTTGTTTTTGTTTACAGAGGAAATCAAAACTGAATTGAAGAATGGAGGACAACCTGAGTCATCAGAAAGTCCTACATCAGGGACCTTACCACTACCCAAAAATGATGCTTCTAACATTATTACTGCAGAGAAATACTTCTTGCCATTTGAACTGGCATGTCAGAGTAAAGCATCCAGGATAGTAGTGACAGCCTTGGATTGCCTACAAAAACTTATTGCTTATGGGCACCTCACTGGTAACATTCCCGACTCAACAACTCCAAGGAAACTCCTTATTGACAGAATTGTGGAAACTATCTGCAGTTGTTTCACAGGACCACAAACAGATGAAGGAGTCCAACTACAAATAATAAAAGCTCTACTAACAGTAATCACAAGTCAACATGTCGAAGTTCACGAAGGCACAGTTCTCCTCGCTGTTAGAACATGTTACAACATCTACCTTGCTAGTAAAAACCTCATCAATCAAACCACGGCGAGAGCAACCCTGACACAAATGCTTAATGTTATATTCACGAAAATGGAGAATCAGGCCCTAGAATCTGAAACGAATGACAATGGTAATAACCATGCTGTAACAGAAATATCACACAAAATGCCTAATGGCAATGTTGTGTCTGAAGAAACACCTAACAATGGAAATGAAGAGGTGAAAGAAGGAGAAGAGACACAGCTCGAGGAAATCGACGAAGTATTAGAAGCTAAAATTATCGCTAAACAAATTGTAGATTCAGTTATAGATAATGCCATAAGTATTGCGTCTAAAAAAACATCTGAAGAAGATGTGACTAATACACCTGATAACCATGAAAATCCGTCTGATTCACAAGATAGTGGGAGTGTGTCACAAGAAAGCAATGGACAGGTGCCGACCGAAAACACTATGACAAGGATACCATCACAAGAAAGTGTGGATGTTGCATCAGAAAATGACAACTCGGTAACAGCAAAATTCACGCACGTGTTACAAAAGGACGCTTTCCTAGTATTTAGAGCTCTATGCAAACTTTCAATGAAACCTCTACCCGAAGGAACTCCAGACCCTAAGTCACATGAGCTAAGATCTAAAATTCTTTCTCTTCACCTTCTATTATCTATCTTACAAAATGCTGGTCCAGTATTTAGGAACAATGAGATGTTCATTACAGCCATCAAGCAGTACCTTTGCGTAGCTCTTTCAAAGAATGGCGTCAGTTCTGTTCCAGAAGTATTTGAACTCTCCTTAGCTATCTTCTTAGCTCTATTGCAAAACTTCAAGGTACATCTAAAGAAGCAAATTGAAGTTTTCTTCAAAGAAATCTTTATGAACATTTTGGAGACATCAAGCTCATCCTTCGAGCACAAATGGATGGTGATACAAGCACTGACCAGAATTTGTGGAGATGCACAAAGCGTCGTTGACATCTATGTCAACTATGATTGTGATTTATCAGCAGCTAATTTATTCCAACGCTTGGTAAATGACGTTTCTAAGATCGCCCAAGGAAGGCAAGCTCTCGAATTAGGCGCCACGCCTAATCAAGAGAAATCCATGCGCATTCGTGGACTCGAATGCCTAGTTTCTATATTAAAATGCATGGTAGAATGGAGTAAAGAACTTTATATAAATCCTAATCTTCAAACAACTTTGGGAGAGAGAACTGCAAAAGAAGATCATGACCACCACAGTATGAAATCTCACGGAGGGTCTAGTCTAAGTCTAGTCTCAACAGGGTCCAGTAATATTGGTAACAGAGAGACATTGGATTCTCCTGAACAATTTGAAGTATTAAAACAACAGAAGGAAGTTTGGGAAACAGGAATTGATTTATTCAACCGGAAACCAAAACGTGGAATTTCTTTCTTACAAGAGCAAGGACTCCTGGGTGCGTCGACAAAAGACGTCGCTGAATGGCTGTTGACGGACGAAAGACTTGATAAAACATTTATTGGCGAGTATTTAGGCGAGAACGAGGATCATTCTAGGGAAGTTATGTACTCATACGTAGATTCAATGAATTTCGCCAACATGGATATTGTTGCTGCGTTACGTTATTTCTTAGAAGGATTCAGACTTCCTGGTGAGGCCCAAAAGATCGACAGGTTAATGGAGAAGTTTGCGTCACGCTACTGTGAATGCAATCCGAACAACACGTTATTCACGAGCGCGGATACTGTGTACGTACTAGCGTTTTCCATAATAATGCTCACAACAGATTTACATTCGCCTCAAGTCAAGAATAAAATGACAAAAGAACAATATATCAAGATGAATAGTGGCATAAGTGACAACAACGACCTTCCACGTGAATATTTGTCACAGATATACGACGAAATCGCCGGTCACGAGATCAAGATGAAGAGTTCTTCTAAACCAGGAAAACATATGATCTCCAACGAGAAAAAGCGAAAGCTAATCTGGAACATGGAAATGGATTTAATATCGGCAGCCGCAAAGAACTTGATGGAATCTGTGTCACATGTTCAAACTCCATTTACGACCGCCAAGCACGTTGAGCACGTTCGTCCTATGTTTAAAATGGCTTGGACGCCCTTCCTTGCGGCGTTTTCAGTGGGTTTACAAGATTGTGATGACCCTGAAATTGCGTCACTTTGCTTAGACGGTATTAGGTGCGCCATCCGCATTGCGTGTATTTTCCACATGTCGCTTGAAAGAGATGCGTACGTACAGGCTCTCGCGCGGTTCACTCTACTTACAGCGAACTCGCCCATCACAGAAATGAAGGCTAAGAACATAGACACCATCAAGACGTTGATTACTGTCGCACATACTGATGGTAACTACTTAGGAACGAGTTGGTTGGATGTCGTTAAATGCATTTCTCAGTTAGAACTGGCACAACTTATAGGAACTGGAGTGCGGCCGCAGTTCCTATCAGGATCTGGCATAAAACCTCAACCAGACTCGTTGAAGTTTAGTCTAATGTCATTAGATCCTAGCGTCAAAGAACACATTGGAGAGACAAGCTCTCAGAGTGTAGTCGTAGCAGTAGATAGAATATTCACAGGATCCACAAGACTTGATGGTGATGCCATCGTAGACTTCGTCAAAGCATTATGTCAAGTATCTTTGGATGAGCTGAGCCATCCGACTAACCCTCGAATGTTCTCACTGCAGAAGATAGTCGAAATTTCGTACTACAACATGGGTCGTATCAGGTTGCAGTGGTCTCGAATATGGCAAGTGCTGGGTGACCATTTCAACAAAGTGGGTTGCAGCAGTAACGAGGATATAGCATTCTTCGCAGTGGATTCCTTGAGACAACTATCAATGAAGTTTATCGAAAAAGGAGAGTTCGCAAATTTCAAATTCCAAAAGGACTTCTTGAGACCGTTTGAGCACATCATGAAGAAAAATAGCTCTCCTACTATTAGAGATATGGTAGTTCGTTGCATCGCACAGATGGTTAACTCTCAAGCATCCAATATCAAATCAGGTTGGAAAAATATATTCTCAGTATTCCATCTAGCTGCAAGCGATCAAGATGAAGCAATTGTTGACTTAGCATTCCAGACTACCGGCAAAATTATAAATGAGTTATATGAAAAACAATTCCCAGCGATGATAGACTCCTTCCAAGATGCAGTGAAATGCCTATCAGAATTTGCATGTAATGCAAAGTTCCCCGACACTTCAATGGAGGCCATAAGACTGGTGAGGTCTTGTGCGACCGCGGTGGGCGCGTCACCGCAGCTGTTCGCGGAGCACGCGGGGCTTGAAGGCGAGCCAGGTGCTCCAGAAGTCGACAGAGTATGGTTAAGAGGGTGGTTTCCTCTGCTCTTTTCGTTGTCGTGCGTCGTCAGTCGCTGCAAGCTCGACGTACGAACACGAGGACTCACGGTCCTATTCGAGATTATTAAAACTCACGGTGAATCATTCCGTCCACATTGGTGGAGAGACCTATTTAATATATTATTCAGAATCTTCGACAATATGAAGCTACCAGAGCATCAGTTGGAGAAGAACGAGTGGATGACTACAACCTGCAACCACGCGTTGTACGCCATCGTCGACGTCTTCACGCAATACTTTGACATTCTTGGTTCTCTACTGCTAGAGCAACTGTACGCGCAGCTGCACTGGTGCGTGCAGCAGGACAATGAACAGCTCGCACGCTCCGGCACCAACTGCTTGGAGAATCTAGTCATATCGAACGGAACAAAGTTCAACGAAGATACTTGGAGCAAAACATGTCAGATCATGTTGGACATCTTTAACAGCACGCTGCCCACCACATTGCTGACATGGAAACCTGATGACAACGATGAGAGCGACCAGCCTCAGGTCCGACACGGCATCTTAAAGAAACCCCAGGGAGGGGACGAAATCAAGTCATCCAACCGAGTATTTAACAGCCTCCTCATCAAATGCGTCGTACAGTTGGAGCTGATACAAACGATCGACAACATCGTCTTTTACCCCGCCACTTCGCGGAAAGAAGACGCCGAGACACTGGCGCTAGCGGCCGCAGAGCTGACTGGCGGCACTCCCGGTACTGAGCAGGAATGTCAGCGTGAAGAACAGGGAATGTATAGATTGCTTAGTTCACCACACCTACTCCGACTAGTAGAATGCCTCATGTGCAGTCATCGCTTTGCTAAGACATTCAACACTAATAACACGCAAAGGAATGTGTTGTGGAAAGCTAATTTCAAGGGTTCGGTGAAGCCGAACATGTTGAAACAAGAGACGCAGTCGTTGGCGTGCGTGCTGCGGATACTGTTCAAGATGTACAGTGATGAGACGCGGCGGGACCACTGGCCTGCGGTACAGAAGAGTCTCATCACCATTTGTTGCGAAGCTTTAGAATACTTTGCTGGGGTGACGAGCGAAGCACACAGAGACGCGTGGACGTCCATACTGCTGTTGATTCTCACAAGAATACTGAAGATGCCTGACGAAAGAGTAAGTGAAAATCGTACATATGTACTTAGTAACACTTTATCGATACAATAATGGAATTAGATTGTAGATGTTATCAGTTATCGTTATGATAATGATGGAAAGAATGTTTCGTATACGAATTTAATCTTTGATCCATCCTTTATTTATGCTGTAGTCCATACTCTATGTTTATTTAGCAATGAATAAGTAGCCAAGTATTTAATAATCATTCATTGATAAAATTAATGGAGGGATTGAATTTCACAAAACTCCACTTCGACCATCCTATAAAAATAATGTACGACTGATACAGCAACATGTTTACATCATTACTCTTTTGTTGCTTTGTTTGATAAGCAACAACATAACTAATGGCAATGGTACAAGATGTGCAAATACCTAACTAAAGGTTTTACCTTATATCAATGTTAATAAATGTTACACGTGAATCAACATCGACTATATAAAGCACTGTATAAATTACAATTTCTCATTGCTTTTGCATTTGTAAAGACAAAATAAATCCGTTGCTATACCATTTAGCATAAAAATCTTTAGTGTGTGCTTATCTCGCTAATAAAGCTGAATACAACTTAACGCGGATTAGTTATTATGTAGACAACAAGCCAATTTAGTTTGATTGTCTGTACACTACTCCGTAGTGAGATCATCACATGTAGGCGTAGGTACCTATAGCTATATGTGTCGGTATGCAAATAGTAAGTCTGCGTTGTGTTTCAGTTTGCGGCTCACGTGTCCAGCTACTACCCGCTACTGTGTGAGATCACGTGCTTCGACCTGAAGCCCGAGCTGCGGTCGGTGCTCCGCCGAGTGTTCATACGCATCGGGCCCGTCTTCAACATCGTCACCAACACCCAATAACAACACAATGTTAACAAACAATATGGCCTTATAGTTCTCTAGGATAAAGTATGACTTTGATGTTAATGTTAAAAATAATACTTCGGTTGATTCCTTAAAATTTAATGTAATATTGACAGCAATCAGTACTTCAGTAGTATTAAACGTGATCTATCATATTTTATAGGGTGTAGTAGTCTTATTTCTAATTTATATTATAAATTATTGATTTGATTATCAAGTTAAATTTTTAAATTGTATATTATAAAAGCATAGAAGTTGTATCTATAAATTAGTTTATTCTGTATATTTGAAAGTTTTTACTGTCTGGAGAGCTGAATTCACTCACTGCTACTATTGCTTGGTATTCCTTCTAGCTAGACTGATCAGACTGTGATTGTGAACTTTTATTTTCTCACTGCTTTCCATGTTTTATCATTTTTCTTGGAGTGACTTCAGAACTCGCACGCAAACTGATTATTATATTATTATTCCTTAAAATAAAAATCATAAATTTAAAAGGAGTCTGATTTAAACAATCTTCAGTCCCTCAATGGACCTCTCCAAGGAGTCCAAGTCCCAGATGACCAGCTGTCCGTCCAGTCCAGTGGTGCTGAACTTATGGGTATTAGCCTTGCTACCTTCGAAAATGCGGATGGAAGTGATGGCATTCTGGTGAATAGAATCCAGGAAAGTATCATTGGTTTCAATGCGTGCTTGGCGATCCAGAGACTGGAACTTCTTCATGGCAGATAGTCCACCAGACTCCTTTCTCTGAGTATTATCCAACTTGGCAACAAACTTAATCTGATCACCTTCATGGCAATACATTAGAGGAATGCAGCTATGTCCTGCCACAACCAGGGAGTTGTTGGTTACCCAACTGCATCCCAGGAAAGGCAAGTACTCAGTCTTCAATTTTATGATAGCTTTTCCTTGAGTAGCATCAGCTACATTTATGGAGCTATCATGTCCCACCCATGCAACTTTATTCCCGTCTGCTGAGAAAGACACACTGTGCACCCATCCACCACCATTGGGTGAATTCGGGAATTCAGCCAACATTTGTCCCAAAGGAAGCTTGGTGCCCCAGACATTAGGTCCAGGCTGATCTTCAATATCCTTGATGTATGCAGAGTACACCCTCACTTTAAAGTCAGCTGAACCAGCAACCAACAGTATGTTGTTTGGGTGCCAGTCAATGCTGGTCACAGTTGAGCGAATTGGCTTCTTGATGTGCTTGGACACCCACCAGTTGTTTTCTTTTTCAAAATAACAGATAGAGATTAACCTGGCTCCTGAACCAACAGCAAACTTGTTCTCCATGGGTGACCATTTGACACAGGTGGCAGCTCGGTTGATACGGAGAAGGACAAGTGTTGTAGTCCACTTGCCATCATCTCCCTGGGTCCAGACATAAGCATTGCGGTCAACAGAGCAGGTGACAATGCGGTTGGTGTTTGGTGCCCAGTCAATGCCCATCACCTTCAAATCATGCTCAACCAGGTTGTTTGTTTGCTTCCAATCATTTCCTTCCTTTTGATAGATATGGACTTCATTGTTGTTCGGAGAAAATGCTATTTCTGTAATGCAAAAATTAGGTAAATTATTTACACATCCTTCTAAACACTCTGGGGGGTCTTATGTTGAAAAGTGTGTTCATTATTGGTCTTAATTAAAAGGACTATAAGTTAATCTAAAAGATTATAACTTTGCGAAATATGTATTAAAATAAAGAGATTACTTACGAGTTCTATCCTTGTTCCATGCATGACAAGTCACCGGTGCACATGAGTCACCGAATGTAAGAGTTTGGGACATCTTTCGTGAGCTGCAGAAACAAAAAGTTACAATTCAATATTTGTTAACGTTGTAAAATCTACTTAAATACGTTCAGTGTGTGAATTTTTACCTGGAATTCCAAAGCAAACGGGAAATCGGTCACACCCAACGATATCAGTTGTTGATAAGCGGATATTCGCGGACTCTGGGCAGTCGACACGAATTCCTGTAAATGTATACATGTTTAATATTCTGCGATAAAGAGTTAACAATGATTACAACGCCAATTTCATTTCATTTTAAGGATTTTTACATCTATTTACCTATTTTCCTTCGAAAATGTAACGCAAACCACGAATCGAATACGAATTTATTCAATGAAATGAATCTGTCAGAAGTGTGTGTTGTCAGTGTCATAATATGTCACTGTCAGGAATTCACAGGAACTCAGCCAGCCAGTGCAGCCACTCCATCTGAAGATGATCTTAATCTGAAATTCTCGCACAATGCTTTTTCTCAAATACTTTATTGTTATTATAAAAACTTCATAGCTTTCATCGACAAAATACAAATTAATTTTTTCTCATCATCATGTCAATCCTATCTTTCGTGCTGTGAATGTCATAGAATTTGACACCCATGTCACTGACTGTCACTGTCACTAGAGACAATGACAGCAAAATATAAATAAAAATATTCGAGCACGGTTGCAATTGTATATGACCGCGCACATAATTATTTTATAGTAATTAAATAATAAGGATAAAGCAAAGGAAGCCTTTACGAAAGTAAACAACGTTCATTTGATACTATCACAAGTATTAAGAATGCCGGGGCCAGCAGGTTTGTAAGTTTTTATACAAAATTAAAACCAAAAAGTATTGATTAAAGTTTACATGTTTTGGTAGCAAGTGCTAATTAAAATTAATAAATCATTTCATGTTAACTGTCTTATGTTCAGGAAAACATTACCGTGGAAATCGCAAAAGTTCAAATCAGACCCATACGCTTGCCTCTGTGGCTAGAGAAACGGCTACTTCTCTGCCGGCCGACAGTCCCGTGCTCGCGATATTCAAAGATGCTGCTCGCAAGTTGAATGAACGCCAGGACAGGCACGAGCGGCTCGTCAAGCTCTCGCGTGACGTCACTATTGAAAGCAAAAGAATTATATTCTTATTGCATTCTCCTATAACGTAAGTAACATATATTATTTTAACTATGCTAACATAAAGAATATAATTCTTTAGTTAAAGAAAGTCTTTAGTTTAATTTCTTACACATGCACATATTTTGGAACATGCACCTAGCTTCACTGATAAACAGACTGACACACTATCAATTGTTTTATATTTGCTGATGTTTCAAAAGTATTAAAATTTAGTTTAATTGATGATGAGATGACATGCTTTCATTTTGATACATAAGATTATATTTTTAATTAAACTTAGTTTATTCTATATTCAGAAAAGAGTCATCAGAAAATACCCTTACTGAAGCTAAGGATCGGATGCAAAAGTTGATCAATGGACCAATCAGAAGCATTGGCTTGGAGTTGGAGAACAGTCCAGCTCACTTACACGGCAGAGCTGTCACTGCCGGATTCCAGGAGTTCATAGAGGCTAGGACTTTACTGTCTCTGATGGCTGACAAAAGAATCATTACATACCCAGAAGTACAGAAGGAATTAGAGTATGAAATCAAAGATGATGATGATGATGATGATGACAATCAGAGGTCTCTAGTAACAATGTTACCCGAGTCTGATTACATGCTGGGTCTTGCCGACCTGACTGGAGAGCTGATGAGGAAGGCCATCAACAGCATATCTAGTGGAGACAGTGAGGAATGCTACCAAGCTTGTCAAGTTGTCAGGCATTTGTATACTGGATACTTGGGTAAGACATCAAATATATTATTTGATTTTCCTTCTAAGATAAAAGAAAGGTACATAATAAGTCTAGCCATGTGCTGATTATAAAAATTAGGCCAAACTCATGAGCCCCATTTTGGCAGCATTTTAGAAACATATATTACTAGCTTCTGCCCGCGACTTCATATGCTCAATCCCATTTCCCCCCGTTCCCGGTTTTCGGTTAAAAGGTAAAATAAAATATTGAATAAAAAGTATCCTATATCCTGGTTCTAATCTACCACCCCGCCAATTTTCATCCAAATCGATTTAGTCGTTCTTGAGTTATAAATAGTGTAATTAACAAGACTTTCTTTTATATGTATAGAATATTGTACTTCTATTTTTTAAATTACCTATGTTGTGCTACCAACTACCTATGCTAAGCTCAAAATAAGAATATTTTATTAGTATACACTACACTTACAATTTGTTTTTATTTTTGTAAATGTATGCACCAATTAATGCTAAAAATAAAATATGTTCTGCTAATTTATTTCAGGCATAACAGGCAGTCGTCTCTTAGTCCGTAAGCTGTCGACAACTCGCGCGAACGTTAACAAAGTTGAGATGGCGGTGTATGCTCTCAAAGTGCGCGGCGGAGAGACACCAGCACCATTACTGTTACCCGCCGCACCTGCAGAGTGGGAGCCACCAATCAACTTATCAGACGACGAAGGATATTATTAGGCTGTGTTATGACCCAGCATTTGTCTATAGACTGAATGAAAAGCCTGATTCAGATCTATTTCAGTAAATAAGTATTAGAACTTTAATGAATATTTCTCATTAAAAGTTCCACAGTGGGAAGTCTTTACTTGAGCTAGTAACTAGTAATACCATGTTCATCTCATTCACGTTTTGTTTATTCAATGTTTTAAACTTTTTCTTATAACTTATCAAATACGCTTGTTATCGCCTGATAGTCTGGTGTCTAGAGTTTATATTAGGATATAAGCTTCAATAGACAGTTTATTAATATGCAATTGGATTTTCATTCTCAATCCCAAATGGAGAAAAACAACAGAAATTTCTTTGGAAAAATAACATTTATTGAGGTAATGCTTAACTAAAAATCTTGAGAGTAATCTCCACTGTCTGGTACGTCACTGGGAGGTTGCCACTCATCGGATTCATCTGTTCCATACGGATCTTCTTCATCTGACTCAGAGTCGCCCCAACTTTGTCTATTTACAGTTTTTCGGCTCCTCTTTCCTACCACTATGAGATTATCAACAGGAGAATCTTCATCACTTAAAGATACTCTCCTTTGCCTCCTTTTCCTTTGTTTACCTGGTTAAAATTATATCACTTGAAAACAGTATATTTCTTTTCATTATTCATATTATATTAAACATAATTAAAATTTTATTTGTATATTTTTTGGAATTCATTCATTTAAAACTCATAATCGTAATCGACGCTATCACCATCTGAATCTTCAGTTTCAAAATGGTCGTCGTAAAAGTTAACTGTGTGTGCATTTATGTAGTAGATGTTACCGTGACGTTCTACTCTTCGCATACCTGTTGGATGTAAGAAAAAATATAAATTAGTACAAATATCTTAGATATCAAATGACAAACTTGGAAGATTACTAATGAAAAATAAAAGTAACAGTAGCCGATTAAGCGCGTGCGGGCCCACAGCATTTTTGGACTTCCTTCTTATAAGTTTTTGTCCAAGGTAGAGGAGAGGTTAGATATAAGTGTTCCCTAGGTACAGGGTTTAATCCGGCACTGAATTACTTTTTGTCTATAGATATAGTGTGCTAAGGTATATTGACTATTTATTGGCATTGCGGTGCACACGTTGGCGGTAATCTATAATTGAAACACCATGTAGAAGGCATTTTTTGATCATTTAGCTTGAGTATTATAACATGAATTATATAGGGGTAGTTGACAATACATATTAACACGGTAATAATATCATACAGTACAGTACTCCAACTTCATACAAATGGACGAAACGCGAGGTATGTATACCTACGCGGACGCCGCTCTATGTCGGGGCGCAGATATACCAGAGTGACGCACGGATGGTGTGATGTTTTTTTTAACAGTAACCGCGCGATTTTTGTGTATATTTAATATGACGAGTAGAAAATATTGTGTATAAAAATCAACACGCATTTTTATTGAACACTTCCTATTCATTATACAAAGTATTTTATTTGTTTATATAAAAAAAAGATATTAACAATCACAAAACTAAATAGAAACAAAAAGTAGGCAAATGTAATTTAAATGCTGGAGACAGCATCCAAACGTATGTTTAAGTACCGCGCGGCTGTTCGTAGGTATTTAATTCTATCATGCGGCTGAGTTACAGTTCTGTATGTATGATAATAATACCACACTGTTAGCGCCGTAGGTTTGGAGGTATTTTTAATTTTTAAGTCAAAATATATGAAAAGTTCAACTTAAATTAACTTTAAATGGTGATACAATGTTAATTTTGTCTAGTATTATTAATGAGGTGATGTTAATTATTTACATTCCTATGTTTAGTAGGTGATCGAGCAACCAAGGTTAAAAGAGAACCATATTTAAAGTGGAAAAAATGCAAATAAAAATAAGAACTTAAAAACATGCCATGCCATGATGTTTAAAACAAGGTTTAACTTCCGCCGACGCGTGCAGTCGCCTTACCAGTACACTGTGGCTAGTCTAAGATTTGAGATGGCTAAGTGTGTGGACCTGGCGGGTGGGGGCGCGGCGCGGGCGGGGCGGCGCCGGCGGGGTGCGAGTGCAGGCGCCAGTGGCGCGGGTCGCGCCGCCCGCAGCCGCTGCCGTACGGACACGCTGTCTGCTCGCCGGAGCCCCAGTCCGAGTCGTTCGGGTGACAAAAGTCCACACGATGCTGGGGGTTCCGTCTGCAAGAATAACACGTGTTTTAAATCCGAATTAACTGAATACATGAGTATTATTTTATTTTAACACCGTTAAGGCAATTGCTACTAATACTACTTGCTGATTTTTATAATATAATTTTGAATACTGTTATTCACGGCAATGAGCAAACCTACGCAAGATTTGATTGATTGATTTCGATTCCACATAATGGATTAAAAATAAAGTTACTAAAACAGGAAATTATTTTTATAATACACTATTCTCATCATTATTATGTACTTCTTGTTGCCACGCCTTGATGCCGTATCTGTATCAGTGTATGTTGCTGTGGGACATATTTATGGGAACTTTATTGGATGATACAAGGTCTAACCTAGGTAACATTATGTAGATCTACTGTGTCTTTAAGTCCCGAATGGACAGGTTGCTCATATGTAGGTGTGCTCCATCGTCGGCCTCATCATCGCTTACTACCAGGCGAGATAGTATAAAAAAAAATGTAATACAAATAGCTTACCTATAACAATTGGCTCCATAAAAGCATCTCTCTCGTAACCGCACTGTAGGTTTCACAGGTGATGTGGGTGCAGCATTATCGCCGCTTTGGTCATTATTTGATGTACCCTGTAATATATTACCGATGATAACATAGTACTGTAAAAAGAACTTAAGAGATAATGTTGTTTTGGTGATTAGATAATGTGTGAATAATCATGTCAAAGAATTTTAATTAACTGACGGAATAACAATAAAAATATAGAATTTAAACTATTATAATTAATTCTTTTGAATCTCCAAGCCGACACTGGTGTCCTCTCTCTACTCACTCCACTATAGGCCTTATTTCCAATGTTTAGAGACTACTTTTGTATAAACAAAAGGAGAATTTTCATACATTCATTTTTTCGTGAATTTATTTATTTATTAAAGCTTCATGCACAAAGTGTACATAAGGTGGACTTAATGCCGCAGGCATTTTCTCCTAGTCTGACCTTTGGGTGATGCAGAGAAGAGTTAATGGTGTGAGCAAGAAGCAAGCAACTATTTAATTGAGTAAATAGAAGATACACTTCATATTTAAGAGATAAACATAAACATAATTATTATAATATATATACCTACACACTAGTACAATATAATATACATACATGCATACATACATAATATATATATAATTATGAACATAATAACTGTGAGTAATTAGCATGATGATAATAATTAGTGGGTAATAAAAACTTACAGGTTGAACATCACTCGGACCTGCCGCATTTCTAGTGTCAGGATCAACCCTTGCATTGGAACTCTCCGTAGGCTCAACTTTGACAGTGGCATTGCCTGATGTTACATCAGCATTTTGTACCGTAGGCTCAACCTGAACATTACTTGTGTCCATAGGTTCCGTTTTCACAATACTACTGTCCACTGGCTCAGTTTTAACTTTCTTAACATCCACAGGACTAGTATCCATAGAAGTGTTGTTCCGTTTAGTTGGAGTCACCGCATTATCTACTAAAGGCACTTGAGGTGAAATTCCATTGATGTCGGTTTTGTTCGGTGCAGTATCAGTATGTTGATTAGATTGTGGATCATTATCCTCACCTGGAACCAATATTATTATTATTAATAATAATAATTTTACTTTTTTAGTACCTACTTTTAATGTGGTTGTCGTACTAAACCCCTTTTATAGAAGAAATATACATTTCTGATTATCAATTTAAACTTTCAAACACCAAGCGGTCACTGGTGACCACAACCTATTGTTCTTTGTTGTGTCTATAATGATGGTACTCAAAGAGTTAATCGGTTTGAACCAATATAACAACGAAGATAAATGAAATTTTTTTCTCCTAAAACATTATCACTTTTTTTTTATTCCCATTGAAGATATTTAACTACACTTACTTATTGATGTCCGAACCTCGTTATCTGTAGAAGTTCCATTTGGTACAAGTACTGTCTCATCTTTGTCACTTTCATTTGAATCTTCATCAGGTAACTGTTGCACTTCGTACCAAAAAACTTCCGGTAGCAGTCCAAACTTGTTACCATGAGTGAGTTCTACTGAACAATCCTGTCTCAATATATGTATTTCTTTGCCTTCTTTAATGTAGAAACATGGATTTTTGTGTAACTGAAAATTTAAATATATTACATTAAATTTTATAGCTTTAATCAAATAAATAGTGCACAGAAATATTTTATTTGCATACTGATTTAAGGGTGAGAGTATCTGCGGTCACTTCCAGCTGAGCATGGTTACGTGATATTCTTAAATCCTCTTCAAGCTGTAACAAATATTATATTATTTTATTTTATTATCAGAATATCCTAAAACCAACTTCAAAATGGTTATGAATAATCGGTGACTCATAGGGCCATATTCCCGTTTATTATAATTTCCCAACTATGCATGCAAATGTAATATGCAAATGTAATATGTACTGGCAAAATGTAGCATCGTATTCTAATGAGGATTTTTATTTAGTGAATATTTAGCTAACTAGGGGTAAACTAACAAGCTCAAACTTGTAAGAAAAGGATCGCCCAACGGTTCAAGGTTTTCTGCTAGGTGTATGTTTATTGTTCATTTCATTAGATGTAAAACATTAAAAATAAAGGTATTTTATCTATTATCCAAGGGTTTTAGGATTTGACGTATTCCAGGACGTAGATTTTATACTGGTTATGAGAAATTAACGGAAAAATTAGTAATAAAAACTTACTTTAAAGTGGCCTCTACCAATCGTAAATACACCAAACGGAAGTTTTATTTTGTAATTATTATCTGTATCAGTCCGCACTACTTTGAAAATCATGGTAATAGCAGAAAAAAACGAGAAGAACAGCTAATAGTTGATGGAATTAATTACAATTCACCACAATATCATAATCTTTAAACGTGTGTTGTGTGATAATAAATTATTTCGCTTTCGCATTCGCAATCTTTTTGTACATGTACTGTTGACGTTTGAAAATTGACATTCACACACAACATCAATTTCAAGCCTTTTGTCCTCGGTTGCCATTCATGAAAAAAAATGCCTTTAACCCTTCGAAATAGTTAGAATCAGTTATAACTACAAAACTAAAATTCAAACATGATTCAAGTAACAATATTTACTCATTGCGTTAGAAACGAATTTCATATCAACGATATTTAACCGAAGGAAGGAAAACTGTAATGTTATTGCATCATGACTGTCGATGAGTTAACTAAACGTAGTTTTCATTTCATAAAATGTCAAAATTCTGAGAAGAAAAGAAAATAATCGAAATATTTTACTCAGTTTTATCGATATTAGCTAATTAAAATTCAATATGATTAAAAATACAGTGACAGGGGCTCATAGGCCACTATCAGGTCAGTTATACAAATACACTAATGTTGTAAAAGGCTGGCAGCAGCGCTGGTTTGCAGTAGATCCCGAAACAGGAGTTTTATCATATTATCTTTTCGATGGGCCCGGAGATACTATTCAGCCAGGACAACCAGCCAGAGGCGAGGTAAGACATTCCAGTGTTTACTGTATATGCAATCAATAACACATTTAACTACTACCTACTACATTTAGCTTTCAAAAAAATGTTAGTTCTTATACCAGTTTCAGTTCATATACTAGTCCATGAACTAGATTTTATTTTCAACCATGGCTAAACCTGTTATTCAAATAGTTTTCTACATTCTTTACCTAGATGATTTTAAAAAGTGTTCTGCAAAATGTTGGGTTTTTATTCCAGGCTCATTTAGCTGCTGCTGTGATATGTCCAAGTGATGAAGACTCCCGTACCTTCACTATCAACTGTGCTTCCGGAGATATGCTCAAGCTGAGGGCCACTGATGCTAGAGCTAGGCAGGAATGGGTCAATGGGCTGAGGGCTATAGCTGAAATACACACTAAGGTAATTCAATTGAAAATACTTACAATAATTTACAGCCACAAGATATCCACTGCTCATTGTAGGCCTCCCCTTTTAGATATTTTAGCTGAAAGCAACTTATATCTAAATCCATATTATTATATCTAAAAAACTTTTACTATTAACCATAGCTACTCAAAGAGATATTGAATTGCCAATAATTTGTCTATTGTGTCTTTCAGGCTATGGGCGCTAATCCTCCCCTGCAGCCCAGAGAGCAGCTGGCTGTGCATGATGCCATGGCTTCAGCTAGGAACCAGTTACAGGCAACAGAACTCAGGTAGCTTCATTATTAAATTTTAATTAAGGACTTGATGTTAATGTTACTTAAACTCATTGAAGCAAAATAATCAAAGTATTTAAAAATTTGTAATAACTTTTTTTTACTGTTCTTTATATTTGTCATAAAATCTTGCTTCTACCTAAGTATCCTACAAAGTCATTAAACTGCACATTGGCAAACCTAGTTTAGTTGGTATTGTTATCGATCCAAATTTTATAAATATGCATCGGAAATATTGACATGCACTTCTTGCATTATAAAAAGTGTTATTTCTATTTTCTAGTGATGCAGCTCTGGCAAGGTGCATAGAATCAGCCGACTCACCATTCCCACACACAGATCCTGACTTATTACTGTTAAAAGTAAGTTTATGACTAAGGCTGTAGTAATTTCTTTTGTTATAACAACTTGTGATAGTTTCTTCATCAGTCAATGAAGACTGTTATTTTTCCAATTAAATAAGTCTTTGTTCACCAAAATATTAATATATTTCCTAATAAATATGAGGGTTGAGGGTGTACAAAATCTGCATTAATTCTAACAATTAATTATTAGAATCTTGGTACCTACTAAATAAATATGAATTCTCATCAATTGAATGTAATTTTTTTCAGGCTACCTCTGCCGCCAGCATGCAGTGCTTGCTCCAATGTCTTGGCATTCTCCATCGACAGCAACAGTACACCACAGTGAGTGTCTCCAGCAAACACTCCGATGACCACCACTAGTATTGACTACTGATACTACTGTTGATACACTGTGGGCTAATACATTCCATGTTCTGAGAATAAAAGAACTATGTGATAACTTATGGTTGCTGAGAAGTCTTCAATAGACAAGGCTTTGATTAAGATCTTGTAGAAAAGTGTTGTAAGCTATGCACTGTGGGGTTTCATTTTATACTTTTGACTTGTAAACAGCTGTTTAAGTTAGTGTATGTGTTGTATAGGAGGCTGTAAATTGTAATACATGAAGTACTGTGTATTGTCCCACATTGTATGGTTAATTTGTAGCTTAAAATAAAAAGACAAGCATTGTTGACATATCCTAATGTTTTCCTTGTAGTTATACTCCATTGGTGTTATGTAAATTGTAAATATTTATCTAATAAAAATAGTTGATATCTTTCTTAACTATTGTAATTTTTAGATTTACACTTAGGTGTAAATCAGTTTTAATCCAAGATATGTTTTATGATTTTATTTATAAATTTTTAGGAAAAAAATAGTAGTAGTGGCTACTAAATAAAAGTCTTCTCATTATTCATAGCTTGGTTTAAATTCATCCCTTATTTGATAATTATAGGGAGACTAGTCACTATACACTATGTGTAGGTCGCCAATCGGTAAAATGTTATTCTCTCATAAGATTATCATTATTAATATTGCCCCTTGACACAATAGGACAGCTACACTGCTCCATCAGCTTTTTACCAGAAACAACCATATTTTTTGAGCTAATGTTCCTAAAAATACCGCATTGCAGTATGCTTTATTTCCCGAACACAAGTAATTAAAGATTTACTGGAATTCTTTCTGGCTTAGTGCCAACTTGTAATATTCATAATTTGTGTTATGTAATGTACCCATTATGGTAAGAAAAAATATATGAGTTTTGATATCTAAAATCAATCTCTATGTTTTATGGCTCATAGATTGTTTGTAGTCTTTTGTTCAAGTTTTTTATGTCAATTCGTGAAAACGAATTATTTTACAATTTATTAAACACATTTTTACCCTTATTTTTTATATATCAAAATGTGTGACCAAGAATTTAGAACACAACGCATCGACCCACGCTATCCAAATCAAAATCAAACCAAGTGAGTCCAAACAATTGCCTTTATGAAATTATTTTTGGTTTTATATTGGTCATGTATTGTTTTGTCATATTTTTATCAATATCTTGCCAACTCAGACATTTTATGGATGTACTAACATTTCAGGGCTTGTTACGACAATTACTGCGACTTTTACAAGTGCCAAAGACTTCTAGGTGAAGCAGACGACTGCAAAATATTCAAGCGTTATTTCGAGACAATATGCCCGAATTCTTGGATATCCCATTGGGACGATCTTAGAGAGAAAGGAGCATTCCCAGGTCCAATATAAAACAACATTGTTTTCTTGAAATAAAACACTTTCAATTCATGGCTGCCTTTAATCCCAGTGAGAACAAGTGCGCAATGTGCAAGTTAAAGTATTCTGCTTCATGTGACTGTATTATCTAATAGTACCAATGCGGTGTGTAGTTTGCATGAAAAGAAAAATTCAGAACCTATTGGGTTATTTGGTAAATGATAATACAAAAATGGAATCAACACATATATTCCCTAAATCACATAATTGGGCCTAAGTAAAAATAAAACTCGCATAAATTAACAAGTCTGAGGCGACCAGTGGAATACTTTAAATCCTTCCAGCGAAAGTGCCCTCAGCGCGTTGAGTGTCCCACTTCTCAACCCATTCATTGGGGCACAGAGACTTGAAGCACCGCTGGAAGTAGTAGCATGGCTCGTACTTCTCCCCACGTACCTTCTGGCAACGGTGGAAGTCCAGGTAGCTGGAGTAGCAATACCTGCAAAATACAATTTACTGTTGTGATAGTTAGCCAAATAAAATATTGTTTTAACATTTACCAACACCACGTCGTAGTCGAAGTATTAATGCCCTTGTTTACAAGTACCATGCGTGGGCAAAGTATTCAAGTGCTGATAACATATCAACACTGGTATCTGATTAAAATATTAATTTTAATGGGACATTGATGCTCGGCGTTAAACTATAGACAACCTTACTACTTAGCCAGAGTAACATTCGAAGACTGGTAGAAGTGATTTACTGTTTGTAAATGTATAGGAATTATCGTACTTACAGTTGATAACAGTTGCGTGTACTGCAGCGTCTCTGGATGCACTCCTCTTTCGACCAAATTTACGAAATTACAGACTACTCACAACAAAATTTAGTTGTACTGCAAAAGTGGTGGTAGCCCTCAGAAAAAGCATTGACACGCATCACAAAATAATCTAGCTTATGTTACCTTGTTTGGTTCTGGTTAGGGAACCGCGGGTCGAAAGGTGCAGTTTTGATGTCGGCGGGCGATTTGATCATCTCAGGCATGATGCTGCAACGAAACACAACCTAGTCATTGAAATAATTCTTTATTTGGAATATTTTTTATAATAAACGTAATATTAAATGTTATCTAGACATACTAATACAATAAACACTGTTATAGAGTAAAATAAAAATTGTTAATATAATATTGTAAAATACATTGCAGAGGTCACAATAAAAACCTTAATTCTAATCTAAAATTAGTAAGTTTATTTCACAAGAGGTCTTGTCTTCCTTTCTTCTTCACATGAAGTTTCTCTATATTTCTTCACTTCCTGCATGTATAGAGACCATGCATCCTTAGGGGTATTGTCTGCAGTTTGTTCATCTATAGCTTTAGCCTTCTTCACTAATCCAGTCTTTAGGACCCTACCACCTCGACGTTTCCCAATAAAAGGCAATATTGGCTTTTTAATTTCAGGCTTTTTATCTGGTTCAGCCTTTTTGGTCACCTCCTGCATCTTTTTGAACATTTCCAAGAAACTTCCATCATTCTTTATAGGAATTGGAACTGGCTTGGATTTTGATGTTGAAGCTTGCATAACTTGATCAGGTATTAATAGTTCTGCAAAATTAGGTCCTTCAACTTCAGGAGGGTCACCATATTCAATATCATCAACAGTTGTTGATTCTACAGCACCTGGGGGAGGTTTCACTTCTTTGGGTGGGGTTTTAGCTTCTTTCACTTTATCCTTCTCTTCTTGTCTATTTCTATGCATTTTCCAGAAACGCTTTCTATCTGCCACTGTAAACTGTCCACGGCGCTCGTCATCTGTTGGCGTACCAGAGCGACTGCGTGAACAAGAACTATTAGATCTAGAACGAGACTTTGAACCTCTTGGACTAACTGAACGATTTCCTTTCCCCCTTGACTTAGATCGGCGTTGTGAAGTCGATCTTCTTTTGCTCGCTGAACGTCGTTTAGAACGACTTTTCGATCGCGACTTTCGTTTTGTCTTCCTTCTAGACTTGGATGGTGACCTACGCTGAGGGGTCGATGACCTTGACCTAAAGGAGCGAGATCTCGAAAGGCGTGAGCTTCTAGAACGTGATCGGTTACGTTTCGATCGTCGCGGGGAGTGAGAAGGCGTCCGCGACGCCGATCTAGATCGCGATTTAGAACTAGACAACATTCTTCTGCTATAAGTTTTGGGTGGAGTTAAAGAACTGTCTCTTCCCTTTTGAACTGGAGTAAGAGATCTTTCTTTGTATTTCTTATTAGTTTTTGGGGGTGGTGATGGTGTGAGTGAGGATCTTTTAGACTTTTTATGAGATAGTTTGGAATCTTTCTTTAATTTTCGTGGCGGTGTAGAAACCTTTCTAGTTTTCCTGGAATGAGATTTAGATTCCTTATTTTTCTTTTCACCCTCTGGTGATGATCTGCTTAATCTATCATGACTTGATGTTCTTTGTACTTCTGATCCATTACGAGAGCTTGAGGAGCTCCTGTTCCTTGACAATGACTTATCACGTCCATGAGCTTTGACAGATTTTTTCCTATAAGATCTGTCAGAACCAGAAGAATTGGACGAAACTGATTTCCTTTTCTTTTCTCTTTTTTTAGGGGAACGAGAATATGAATGGGAGCGGGAGCTTGAACGCTCACTAGAAGAATACTTCTTGCGTTTTGTCGATTTGCTCCTAGATCTACGACGATGACTGTCCTCATAGCTGCTGTCCCGTTTCTTTGAATAGTCTCTCTCTCTCCTCTCATAAGGAGAAACACTTCGAGACTTGGTATGATAAGATCTTCTGCGCTCATATCTATGGGAGGCATTAGGCGAACGACTTCTGTCGCGTTGTCGAGCAGGGTAATCGAAGGCAGTGTGCTGCTGTTGTTGTTGTGGTGGGTATGTCCTAGTTTCAGAATACTTTCCGTAATAGGTGCCGTCAGCACGCTGATAATAGTTAGAGTCGTAATTGTAGCTGTAACCAGGCGCATACGCCTGGTAGTCGTAGGGCGGCGCGCCGTACTGGCTGTAGCTGACCCCGGTCCAGGGGTCCGTGGTAGGCATGGCTCGTGGCGGGGCGGCGGGCGGGTAGCGCGGCGCGCCTGTGTAGTCTGCCTCAGCACCCGGCGGCCCGCCATCCCACGCGCCGCCCGCGCCTCCCGCACCGCGATACGAGGACATACTTATCAGAGTCCCCTCGCATAACCTGCAGCAGTTTGTAGGTGCGCACACACCTACAAACAGAACAACTTTTTGGTGTAGACAGCAGCTCTACATAAACTTCGCTCGAGATACACCCTCGCGCATCGATTACATTTTTCATGTTTCGTTGATAAATAATTTTTTGACGAGAAACAACAAATTACGTAATCCGAAGACGGAGCACAAAATGCACCGACAAAGCATGCGTTACATATACAGCTGACATGAAACAAGAGAAATATCAACAGAATACCTCGGTTACATGCTCACCTTTTTTCAAAATAGCTTTTCCTCAATATTTCAATTCAATAGAAAATGGCAGCGCACACATTCGCTACTCAATGGCCATAGACAATGTCCAAAATAGATATAGATTATAAACTTAAAGTAAGACTATAGACAAGAAATCGATCGTCCAATTTGTTTTTGTTACGCATTTTTATTTGATTTGAAATCATATACGTATTTGTAACGTATATACGTTGCAACGGGTACGATGATTGTTTTCCCCGTTTTTTCAATAATTTCCCCGCCTTATTGGCACAAAATTCACATTTGCTATCCTTACTAATCCTTACTAGTCCTTACTATCCTTACTAATCCTCACTATTACTAATATTATAAATCGGAAAGTGAATTTGTTTGTTTGTTCCGCTTTCACGCCGTAACTACTGAACCGATTGCTTTGAATTTTTGCAGACGTCAAGTTAGAAGTCCAGATTAAATAATAGGGTACTTTTTATCCCGGAAAAATTTGATATTCCCGATTGAAAACAAAAGTGTTGGTATAGATGGCGCTGTGTGTATTGGTATATGTCACATAGGCTACTTTTTATCCTTTTGTGACGCGAGCGAAGCCGCGGGTAAAAGCTAGTTGTAAATAAACATGCAAAGATAATATTTATAATTATGAGAAGGTAGAGATAGGCGTTTCAAAATTTACTCGAGTATTTATCCAAAAATATGGATTAAAATTCGAGTAAAATCGAATCTTCACTGACTATCTATTGCCATTACAATCAAGGCAATAGACAATAGTTCCCCATAACAATGGTAAAGTTAAATAGTATTGTCTATTGACTAGCAGTCATGATGTCAAAGTGTCAACAAACAACAAATGTCAAAGTAAAGTAGTAAAATGAGAAGTGTCACGTCGCCGGCGCGCCAGTAATTTTAACTGGAATCGTAATTGTATTTTAGTGATTATTTGCTACTATCTTATTGCTAGTGGAGTCTCTTGTAGTTCAATTGTCGTCCATGAGTAAATCTAAAGTGTCGGCAGAATGGAAGAAGCGTGTGAAGTCGGAATACATGAGGCTCCGCCAAGTCAAGGTATGCTTAAACAAAGGTTTTACTATTTTTGTAATGTTCTTGGTTTTAAAAAAATCAAAAGCGTGATACTATAAATGTTTCAATATCCCACTTATATCATCTCATTGGTATTATCCCATTATATAAGCCCTTACCCAGGATCAGTTGGGTTTCATTATATTAATTCGGTTCGATTCCTAGGTTGGGCAAGGTATTACTGGGTTTTTAAAAAAAACTCAGTAGTCGAAAGGGGTCTGGAATTGTGCCCGGTAACATCAACAACCGAACAACATAAATAGTGAAAACTCTGTGTTCCATGGTACAGTGGCATTAAGTAATTTACACCTCTTACTTCATGGATAAAAAGCGGTGATGTTATGTTAATTACCTAAATATTTTTGTTTACAGCGCTTCAAGCGTGTAGACGAGGTGAAGGTGGCATGGGCCCGTAACCTCAGGATCATGTCTGAGTCCATAGAGGCTCAGGACTCTGAGAACAATGAGCGTGCAAGGAAACCGTTCTGGCCACCACCAGCTACATTACCAAACCACGAGACCCTCATGAAGAGAGCTGAGGTCACTTACACTGATGGTAATTATTATACATCTAATATTGAAAAGTACCTGTTACATATTATCATTTTGGTTAGTGTGAAAGCTATTTATTGGCTAATCTGCTTTATAATATAATAGTTATAACTAATCATTATGTTATTGTTTTGATTTTAACAGTTATAAAATTATAACTTGTTTAGTAATATATATATGACTAAAGAATTGTATTGTGAACCTGATTGAAAATGACCTATGGAGTTTCTTGCTCATTTTTCTTTGCTTTTTGAATCTACACCTTGGAATGAGTAAATAGCTTAACTTTTAAATATTTTGTTGACAAAAAGTATCATCCTGGTCTAATTGAGATAACTGTTTTTGACTTTGACTTTGTCTATAGTTTTGCGTTATAATTATCTGCATTCAGATTAGCTCAATTCTAATCATTTCATAATTTTTCAACAGCCTCCGGAGTAGTAACAACACAACAAGTACCAATCCGCATAATAAACTCGGTAAACCCAATACCGACAATGTATACCTGGGCTCCTACACAGAAGAACTTCATGGTGGAAGATGAGACAGTTCTCCACAACATTCCATACATGGGAGACGAGGTCCTGGATCAGGACGGTACATTCATCGAGGAGCTCATAAAGAACTACGACGGGAAAGTGCATGGTACATCTGCTTAACATCATTATTCCTATGTTTGTGGACTGTGCCGTTTTGTGCATGATTAGAGCTAGAAACTTATTATATTATTATATTAGAACATGTTGTGATGCACATCGTCCATCTTCATATGATACATGTTCATTTTGTTCATATTCTTAGATGGTTTCCAAATGACGTGCTTTTCTCAGTTATAATTTATTCTAATAAACTTCTACACAGAAGCTTTTTTGACAATGATATGATTCCAAAACATTTTAAATGCAATCACTCTATGAAACATGTGAGATGTTAAAAACATTTATGTTTAGATTGAAGTGATAGTTTCTGTACTTATTTTAAATAAGATCCTTTTGATCTCCTCTGCTGTTTACCAGCAGAGGAGATCAAAAAGCTGAATGTAATTTATTGTGAAGACGGGGGCTCTGTCCACAGACTGTCACAAGAATTTAATACACATTGGTGTGTGGTGCACACATCTATGCTTTTAGATATAAAAATATAGTTATATAAGAGCTTCTCAACCATAGACATGTATCCTACATTACATGAAATAATTAAATGGAATACAGCTTCTTATAAAATCAAGAATTGATCAGCTAGCATAGCACTAAGCCAAAGAAGAAAATAGACTAGGAATATTTGTACATGTCTCTGGTTTTCTATAAACTGCCATGCCAAAATATGGTCGCAATTAGTGTAGTGTACACCTCATAGGCCTTTGCACTCACACAGTCACGCTTGTCGTGCTTCACACCACATCTGCCTCTAGAAGATAGTAATGAGCCTTGACATGGATAAATCTTTTAGACAAAACTTAACTCATAATCCAATCTCTATGCGTTCTATGTCTAATAATGTCGATTCTTTGGTCTGCGACAAACAAATTAAGAATTGGGAGATGAAAACGTACTTTTCCTCCATTTAATCCGAGCGACATTCAAAATTTAACAGTCAATAGAACATGAAGTCACATGTTCATGATCCTAACTCCTGGATGTGAACAATTGGTCAAGCATAGAAATTTTTCTTAGTACCAGGTTCCGGAAGGAGAAAGAAAATAAGTAAGGAGAGTGTACACTTTGCCATAGTTGTTACCTTTTGTTATTCATCTCATTGTAAAGTAATGGAAGAAGAACCTATTACAACATACTAGATACACATTTCTACCCAATATCCATTTTGACAATTTTCAAAAGGAAGTTTCATCTTACATCATCAAACCTTCTTCCCCAGGCGACAAAGAAGGTGGTTTCATAGACGACCAGTTGTTTGTGGACCTGGTGCACGCGCTGATGGCGTTCCAGACCAAGGAGGAGGTGGCTGAAGAACGCAGGGACAGAGAGGCTCGGAACTCTAAGGAGGAGAAGGAGAAAGAGAAAGAAGTAAATTGGCGTCATACTTATTATTTCTATATTAACCAAAAATCGCGGGTTACTCACGTCCTACCGCGCGCGCTGCTTATGCTGCTAAGTGGGGTCGCGGCGAGCTCTGCGGTTCGAAACTAAGAGCTTTTCTCAGTACTTTCACGCGAGTAACCCGCGAAATTTAGTTAAATTAGCATGTCTCACGATACTTATTCAAAAAACTTATTATTCCTACTTATGATCTAATGCAAAAACTTTATTTTTTAATTTTATACTATTGTAATACCTACCTTAATTACAATAATATAAAATGCAGTTCTAAACTCTAACTAATCACACCATCCATAAAATATAATTGGAAAAAAGATTAATAATTCGTGCAAATACAAAAGTAAACATCAAAAAAGTAATAGTTAAATATTTTTACAATGTTACAGGCTAAAGAAAAAGCAGCTTCTGAACGGAAGGACAGAGAAGCTCGCAACTCAAAGGAGGATAAAGAGAAAGTAAGTATTTATCATAATCAACTACATTTAGACACGACTTATAAACTGAGAGTAATCTTATTGATTTTTATTTTGTCCAGGCACACTCAAGTAAGGATAAACCAGAAGATCGCAAAGACAGGGAAGCTCGGCACTCCAAAGAAGAAAAAGAGAAAGCAGTAAGTACAAACACATAATTACTTCATGCATGTAATCATTAAATAGGTATTGAGGAGCGGGAGAGAGAGACTGCAGAACAGACTTGGAGAGAGAAGGAGGGAGGAGTTGTAAGGAGATGGAAGTAAGACTAGATACGTTATTGATACATGTATACTGAACAGGTACCAACAGTGATGCCCTTCCAGTCTAACGATGACTTAGCCGAGGAGCTTAAAGAGCCGGACACTCTGAAACCTACCATGGAAGAGGTAGAGGTGAGATTTTACATTGATTTTTAGTTTTATTGCTTTAAGTTTACCTACACGGTGGATAGGTGACCTTATAAAGACGGCAGGGAGCTGCTGGATGCAGGATGCATCCAGAAGTCATTGAAACAGGCCTATGTTCAGCAGTGGGCGATTTATGGCTGATGTGATGATTGCTTCAAGGTCCAAGGCAGGGAGTATATTGCCTGATGGCTCCACTCTAAAACAACGATGTAATAGTTTTGTCTTTTTCTAGAAAGATAAGGAGAAGGATAAAGAAAAAGAAACCCAGGAGAGTGAGAAAGCGGTGCCCAATGACAAGCAGTTCCCAATATTCACGATATTCCAAGCTATCAGCATTCAGTTCCCGGATAAAGGGACAGCTCAAGAGTTGAGAGAGAAGTAAGTACATTACATATTTTGATGAATCATAGTGTGCAATGTAGGGATGTCAAGAGCCATAAAGGAGACATTATACTCTTAATTAAGTGACACTTATTGCACGAACTTACTATAGTTATGTGGTGAGAAATGACACACACCAAGTGTAATAATAATAAAGTATAGATAATTGTGAATTAATACAAAATTTACCAAAAGATTCTGCATTATTATACAACCACATCAGGGTTAGAGAACCCCAATCATAAGGTCATAGCTAACACACCATTAAAACAAACAAATATATTCCTTATCCCCAGGTACATAGAGCTGACATCCCGTAGCGACCCCAACGCTCTGCCTCCAGAATGCACGCCCAACATAGACGGTCCACTGGCGGAGTCAGTGTCTCGGGAACAAACGATGCACTCGTTCCATACATTGTTTTGTCGACGATGCTTCAAATACGACTGCTTTTTACACCGTAAGTAGACCTAAATATTATTCCTGAATGTAGCTATGTAAACAGATATTTTTCTTTTAGTTTAAATCTTGCCGTCATTTTGCGTTAAGTAAAATATTTAAGAAATGGTATAATGCTACACTAGCGCCGTTAGCGGCGACCAACTAAGTTACAAATAAAAAACATAATGTCGTAATCATAAAGGACCCAAGATATTTCTTAAGAGTTTGATTTCCCAAAGCATATCTTATATTCCAAAGTATAGAGTATATTTTAGCACAATATAAGTATTATATTAAGTATAAGTAGATATTATATTCTAGGGCTGACTAGTGTTTGTTGTTTGTTTGCGTGCAGGAAGTCAAACGGCAGGTAAGGCCGTACAGACAGACATTTCCATCGATATTATTATTATTTATGCTATACTACCTGTTATGATCAAAGGTAAAACCCGAAAAAAAATATTGTCGCAAATTGCTGGAGATGTATTTTAGATTGGTTTTAAACCAAAATCGGTTATTTGATGGTCAAAGTCATAAAACTTACAATAAAAGAACTTATTGCACAGAATTATTAACAAATATTAAATAAAAATTACGAGTTACTCACGTAAATATGCTGAGAAAAGCTCTACTAGTTTCGAGTCACAGAGGGACCCTTCCTCATGAGCAGCGTGCGCTGTCGCGGCGACGTCGCGCAGCCTACTCTACTGTATTGTACTATAGAGAAGACTACGTGACATCTAGTAGAGCTATTCTCAGTATATTTACGTGAGTAACTTGTAATTCTTAGCTAATTTAGCATGTCTCACGATAGTTATTAAAACAAAAAATTACAAATATGTTACTGATGTTTTAAAAAAATACATCTTTGGCATACCAAATCCAAAAACGTTATTTTGCGTCATTATGCCGGTCACTTATTATTTCTCATTTATTATAATTATTATACCTCATGCAATAATGGCACATTCCCATGTCATTCCAATCATAATTTAAAATAACCTTATTGTCACTATACAACCTTATCAATTATTATACATATTTGATCATCTATCATCCATGTATATAATTTTACAATAGATATATTTCTGTAATTTCCCCATAGTTATAATTTTAACTAACCATATGTGCTAACCATAAACAAAGCATTAAAGTCTTGCATAGTTTTTTAATATAACTTCAGAGCTTTTGTTATTAAACACCTTATGATTAATAAAAACTAGATAAGTATCTAAATTCAACATTCTAACAACGAAAACCCCAATATTAATAACATATTTTTTACTAAACATCATTTTTGTATTAATTCTTCATCAAAATTTAGTTATATTACACTTACTTATATTTTTTAATTGGCTTTTCGAATCAGCAATACATATTATAAATTCATTAACATATTTTCAACTATAATCAAAACACTAATATGTTTACTCAATAGGATAGTCACTTTCATAGATATTGGTATGACGCAGGTCTACAGGCATGTCACCCGGGGCCCAACTTGACTAAGAGGAAGGGGCCCGACCTCAAGCCATTCTCTGAACCTTGCGGCTCCAGCTGTTATATGCTTTTGGTGAGTTAGTTTTACAATCAAATATAATAATTTATTAACTTTGGAATGATCTGTCTTCTGTGGTATTTCCGAATCAATATCAGGTCCAAAGATTGAAGAAAAGAGCTTATTCCTTCTTAAAAGTTCGTCAACGCACTTGTTACTCTATAGTGTTGCTAATTGCTGCTTACCACCATGTATCTGCACTTTCTTTTCAGGATAGGGGCACTCTGTCTGAAATAAAAATTCCTAAAACTACCAAGACATTTGGATGCTATTTCATCTTCATCTTGAATAGAGTGATCGACGATCCTCAAACTCCTAATCCCCAAAGCGCCGGTAACGCACTTGTAACGCTTTTAGTGTTCCAGGTGTCCATGGGCGACGCCGATTGCTTACCATCAGGTGATCCGTCTGCTCGTTTAGCGGCTTAAGCCATAAAAAAAAATCGGCAAGGCTTTATGTGAGGTTTTAGTAAAGACAAATCCCAGACGGAAAAATATAAATGACTCTTATCCTAAATATGATTACTTAGCTGTATTCTCACGGTATAATTGTTTGTGTTACAGGAAGGTATGCGTGAGAAGTTAGCTCGCGAGAAGGCGGCCGGAGAGGAGGACAAAGGGAAGACTCACGCGATGGACTCGCCCAACGACGCATCCTCCGAAGATAGCAATGATAGTAACCGTTTCCAGAAAGGTAATTTAATGAATGGTTTATTGGTGTTGAAAACATCCTACTGAGATTGAATCTATGAGTTAATTGAGAGGGTTTAAAAAATCAATGTGTAATCTTATTTTTTTTTAATGCGTTGCCCCCACACGTTGCCCTCCTGTATCGTGGGTGCGTTTACAAGCATACAAGTTCACATACACATGACACCCAGACCTGGAACAACAATTTGTGGAGCACACAAAGTGTTGTTCCGTGCGGGAATCGAACTCGCGACACGTTGCACGGCAGCCGGTTGCCCAGCCCCCGCACCAACCGTGCAGTTAAATTTACAGAAATAATATCGTTTTGTTGTGTAATATTGCAGGTAGCAACAGTAACTCCAGTAACAGCAACTGGGGCAATGGTCAGCTGAAGGCGCCCGGCGACGGGGCTGCTGAACCCGCCTACAATGCGCTAGGTAATATTATCATGTGCATATTTTAAATACAGGGACATTCTGAGATGTATGTAATTTGCAAGCGTAAAAGCTTACAACTAGACCTTTCGTATTATTTCATCTGGCTACATTGTGAGTGGATGTCGGTTGCACAAAAAATAACCTTATGTACAGTGTAATACGGTACATTTCAGGCTTGACAGTGGGCGACATAGACTCTGAGTGGACGGGGTCTGACCAGTCCATGTTTAGAGCTCTGCATAAGGTGTTCCCCTCCAACTACTGCGCCATCGCTCAGGTCATGCTCTCCAAGACTTGTCAGCAGGTAATGTGCATACTAACCTATTATTTTGTTATTGACTCACAAATACAAAATCACAAGTATGGGAGAACCATGCTTCGGCACTGCTGGGCCGGCTCGACCGGAGTGATACCACCAACGAGCAGAAAACCGACGTGAAGCAACGCTTGCGTTGTGTTTCGTCGTGTGAGAGAGGTTACTGGAGGCACAATTACCCCCTCCTTAGTCCCGGCTCCCGAATCCCCGAATCCTCCACAATCCTCAAAATCCCAATTCCCAAAAGGCCGGTAACGCACTTGAAACGCCTTGGTGTTTCGAGTGTCCATGGGCGGCGCCGATTGCTTACCATCAGGTGATCTGTCTGCTCGTTTACCGGTTTATGCTATAAAAAAAATAGTTTACACATAAAAATACACTCTCGAACTTTTTAACGTCGACCAAAGTCTTACTCAAAATATCTATATTTTTTTTAATAGAAGTATTATTTTTGACATTCTATCTCAGCAAATCCTTCCTGATAATGTTTCTTAATATACTTAATTAAAAGTTAGACAAAATAACGAACAGTAACAATTGACCCCAGGTATACACATACTGGATCAACACCGGCCAGGAGGAGTGTCGCGTGGAGGCCGAGCTGACTCCGCCGCGCAAGAAGAAGAAGAAACATCGACTCTGGTCCGTGCACTGCCGGAAGATACAACTCAAGAAGGACTCCGCCTCGCATCACGTGTGAGTACTATCTTCATCATCATCATATTGGCCACACAATATAATAATACTATATATTTAAAAAAACCTTGTTGGCCGAGTGGTCGCAAGTTCGACTGCCGGGCAAGGGGTCTCGGGTTCGATTCCCGGGTCGGGCAATTGAATTGTGGCCGGTATATGGCAATAGGCTCACCCCCTATTACATGAGACTTATAACATAAATAGTGAAAAGTGGGTGTTACATTGTACAGTGGCCTAGCTAGCCTAGCTTCACTGACGGACAGACTGACAGACTATTATTTATTTCATATTTTGTTGACGTTTTAAAAGTACCAAATTATGGTTTAATTGCAATAAATGCTTTTGAGTTTGAGTTTGGCATAATGTGCACCTCTGCCTACCTCTTCGAGGATAAAAGGCGTGATGTTATGTTATATATTTAAAAAGTATATAATATGATATACTGTAATAGTAAGTGTAATAGTGTTAGTAAAATTGAACAACATTGTAATATTGACACAGCTTAAACATTATTTGTCTCAAATTTGCTATGGTAAACTTGAATTTATACGTCATGTAGTTAATAATCAGCAACTGATAAAAGAGTTCGCTAAAACTTTTCCTAAATGTAAAATGATGAATTGCGACATGGACATAATGTGAATATGTATCTGGTGTCAGGTACAACTACACCCCGTGCGACCACCCCAACCAGCCGTGCGACAGTATGTGTCCGTGCCTACAGTCGCAGAACTTCTGCGAGAAATTCTGTCAGTGCAGCAGCGATTGTAAGTACACTCATAGTTTATACTTAGACAAACTTGGTAATTAATTGAGTATTTCGACTTTTATGAACTCTTAACACTAACCCAACATTGACTGCACGGCTGTCGCGGTGGCTGGGTAACCGGCTCCCGCGCAAAGTGTAGCGGGTTCAATTCTCGCATGGAGCAATTCTTTGTGTAATCCACAAATGGGGATGATGACAGGGTATGAAAATTAAAAATATAATTAGTCCGTAAGTTAGGTAATGAAAAAATATTAGACACGTATTTTTTTATTTTGTTGTATAATAAAACAATACTTAGATAAAACGAATCAAAGTTTAGGAGTGGGGGCTAAAATGTCATTCCTTAGTATAAAATGTACTGAGAAGTGACGTCACGCGACATTTCAAGTCAATATATCTTCGAAACTATTCGTTTCTGTGAGAAAATAAAAAATACGTGTCTAATGTTTTTAAATAATCTATCAGACGGACATTAAAATAAAAATTAGTCGTCTACCCCATTGTTGTTTCGGGTCTGGGTGTCATGGGTATGTGAAATTGTATGTTTATAAACGCACCCCACAGGAGACAATTCTAGAGTGGGGCAATGTTTTTTTTAATTGTGCTTTTCCCTCAAAGCAGAGGTAGAGGTGGTCGGTCATACTTAATGTTAAAGCCATTTTTATCAGTTATGTTATAAGTTTCATTCTAGTCATACAAGCACTATTTTAGGCTTCATGCCATTATTTTGAATGATTTATTTCATGTTTATATTTATTAGTAAATAACACTCCCCACTATTTATTATTTTAATATTTTCAATGAACAGAATGTTCACAAACATACATACATACATAACTTCACGCCTGTCTCCCATGGGGGTAGGCAGAGACTAAAGAACGCCAAATACTACGATTCTTACATACCTCTTTCGCTTCATTAACAGTCATCAATCTTCTCATGCATGCTCGTCGGTTAAGGGTACTTTTAATTTGGCCCTTCTTTAATATATCATCAATCTGGTCACTATATGTCCGTCTAAAAGGGAATGTTACGCTGGTTTGGACATGTAGAAAGGATGGATGAAAGTAGAGTAACGAAAGAAGTATACAGAGCGGATATGAATGAAGCCGTCGGTAGAGGGCGCCCTAGACTAGAATGTTCACATGTACAGTTTGATTATACCGCGCTTGTCCGGCCGCAGGCCAGAACCGGTTCCCGGGGTGTCGCTGCAAGGCGCAGTGCAACACGAAGCAGTGCCCGTGCTACCTGGGCGTGCGCGAGTGCGACCCCGACCTGTGCTCGGCCTGCGGCGCCGACGCCCCGCACCACCACGACCGCCCCGCCGGACGGACGCGCCCGCCGCAGGTCTTCTGCAAGAATGTCTCGGTGCAGAGGTACGGCTTTTTTCAAAACTCAAAATCATGGAAGGCACTTTTGAACGACAAAACAAAATATTTAAATATTAAATAATAAGAAAAAATGTCAGTCTGTACGTCAGTCCTCTAGTGAAGCTATTTGCTCGTTCCAAAGTGTAGATTCCTATGGAGAAGAACGAGCAAGAAACTCCATAGGCTACTACGTTTGTTACACTTGTGTGACGTGCCAATGGTACAAAGCCAGTCAACTATGTCAAATTAAAGTCTACTGACAGAAAAATATTGAAAACATAAAGTCCCGAGTTTGTTGAAGCAATTTGATAAATTCAAGTATGTAGCTATATCACGCTGAGGCCTGTAAAAGTGACAATAATCATGCCAATAAACAAAACAGTAAAAGTCTTCCATGACTGTGAACTATGTAACAAAGTTGATAACTCTCGAAGTGAAAGTACTGGCTAATACTTATTAGTATTAATATTCGATATTTCGATTAAATAAAATTAATTTACCATTACAGAGGTCTCCACAAGCACCTACTCTTGGCTCCGAGCGACGTGGCTGGCTGGGGCATCTTCCTGAAGGACGCGGCACATAAGAATGAGTTCATCTCCGAGTACTGCGGAGAGATCATCTCACAAGACGAGGCCGACAGACGCGGCAAGGTCTACGACAAGTACATGTGCTCGTTCCTCTTCAATCTTAATAATGGTAAACTTTTACATAATATACTTGAAGTGGTTCATGTCTCTATAGTTGCTTTTTTATTAATATTTAGTTCGACACAAAGCTCCAAATATTCAAATATCACTCAATTTAAAGTCGCGGTAAGTATATGTAGTCCTGTCGCTACTAATTGTTTGTAACATGCCATAGATGGCGCGATATTTAAGTACAATTTAAAATTGATTAGCCTTTCAGTATTCAGGCGAAAATCAGCTTTAATTGAAATGTTGATGCTCAATGGGCATTGTCTCAGCTTCAACACCTAATACATAGTTACCTTCATGATTCTGTTTGTTACAGCTGCCTCTAAAAGATAATCAGTAACTTAGACAGTGCCAAATTGTAATATTTTGTATTTTATATCTCTAGCGAATAAAAATTTTCTACTGATTGCATGAAATCCTAATGTTAGCTATCGTAATTTCTATATTGTTTCACAGACTTTGTAGTGGACGCGACACGTAAAGGTAACAAGATTCGTTTCGCGAACCACTCCATCAATCCAAACTGCTACGCGAAGGTCATGATGGTGAACGGAGACCATCGCATCGGGATCTTCGCCAAGCGAGCCATACAACCTGGAGAGGAACTGTTCTTTGATTACAGGTCCGTATTCATTCAGTTTGTTTCATATAATTCTGTCATTATTTCGTCATTAGTATCAGATTATAAGATACTGCTGAATATTGACCACCCCAAATCAGCATTTGAATCTCTCAAAATCAATTTACGAAATATTAGATAATCTTTTTGTTATTGCATCATGCAGATGAACATTTTTAGTATCAAGTGATGCAATATTAAAAATTAAACATCAAATCATATCTGATGTAATAATTGACTTTATGGTGGTTAGGCAGGGGCTTATGACCACCATACACACCTTTGTTAGGGCGTGCTTTACTTTAGGTCCTTTCTAGAATTCTGATGTCTGAAGGCAAACCTGAGGACACTTACAATGATGATATCACTAAAACATAATGTACAATTTCAGATATGGTCCCACCGAGCAACTGAAGTTCGTCGGCATCGAGAGGGAAATGGAATTCTTATGAGAACAACCCAAGCAGTTCTAGGACAGACATCATGCCACGCCTAGTATCCATGAGACGTCAGTGGACTCTCAGACACGTGATATAAGTGTCAGTGATGTCAATTAGACTGTTGTTTTTAAAGCATAGGTTGTAAGATTATGACAACACTGTTTTATAGTACTATGTAAGTACTGTTGATTGGCGAATAATTAAGTTTGAAAAATGTGAACTGATTAATTAATTTCAATCTTTTTTACAATAAACGTTTTTTCAATATTTTTTTGGCCGTTTTAATTGTCTATAAATAAAGATCACAATCCGTTCACCCATTATATTAAACTGTCAAACACCAAGCGGTCACCGGTGACCGCAACCTATTGTTCTTTAATTGTGTAATGACGGTAATCGACGAGTTAATGATACCGAAGGTATAATAAATAAAAATACCTTTATTTCAATACAATAAATAAAGTTCCACTAATCATTTGCAACAAAAATGTATTTTTGCAACTTTTTTGGTCAGATAAGATTACTTATTGTATGATAAGGTACTTGACTTACTTTTGTATTGATTTGACCCAATAATATCAAGTAAAATGTATTGTAGATCAGTCTTATTGAATTGAAATTTAGAAAAGTTAAGAATAAAACTACAAAGTACTCAATAGAGTGTGTCATTATTATATTAAAATTAACAGATAGTAACAACATTTAGGTACACTGACACATATACAATTGTACAAAAACTCATTTGAACTCTGTCTAATGAATGAAAATCACAAATTGCTTGAATACACCACAGTGACTACTACACTGAACTAACATTACTTACAACTCTCTAATACTTGGCTCAGAGCCTCAAATGTTCACTAACTAGTGTTCACAGACAAATGTGTTCATACTGCAATAAGGCATTAACAAAACATATTTCAGTATAATACAAAATTAAATCATTCCAACATCGATTTCATAGAGTTAAATTGAGCATCTCAGTGGTTGTATTTACAGCACTAATATAAGGAAAATAAAAAAATCATATTGTACATCTTTTACTGAGGTATAAAATAAATATAGTACTTAACTATAGTATCACAATCATGGGCCCAAAGACTTACAGCAAGATGTAAACAACATTAGAACACTTATTGATCAATACTTGACATTAGTCTGTGAAGACGACTGTTAATCACAGGATCCATCCAGCCAGCCGTCTCGCCACCTTTCATGCACCTTGGAGCAGTCAAACACAGGCTTGCCAAGTTTGACATTGACTGTGTTATGACGCTCACACAACCATTTTGCTAGGGCATCTTGGCTTTCTGTTCTTGGTGGATGCTTTTTCAAACTGAAAATAACAACTTTGATTTAATAACATATAGAAACTGTTTTGTGCTAGTTTCCTATTATGAGAAATGAACAAGTGATTACTGTATAGTAATACATACTCTGCCTGGAAATCCAATGCACATGGCTCACATGGGTAGAACTCTGCAAAGATATTAAAAAATTTCGTCATATCTTCTGATTCTTTCTTAGTCGGGTTTTTGGGGTAATATGATGCCATTGAGTGCAGGAACCCCCATGTTGCTGTACCTAACTCATCCTTGTCTAGAGGACAATCTTTGGGTCGTGGACTAGGCTGAAAAAAACGAATATGTTAAAAAACTGAAATTAACTACTAATAGAGTACAGTAAGTACTGATCTATGTCATTATGTGACAGTATGATGTTATCAATATTTGGTATTGTTTGTTTATGTGTATGTAAAATTTATTCATGAAGTCAGAAAGAAACAAACCAATAGTTAGGGACAATACATTGGTCTATAGTTAGTTGTGGCAATCAGCTGTTGCATCACTCAAAGGTCACCATGGTAACAAATATTAGGCAACAAATTTACATTTTTATACAATGCAGGGGTTATTAGAGCTCCGTATTCAGTCAGGCCGGGATAACATGAGGGACAATACTAGAACGTTCCATTTATTACGAAACATAACCTCACCTGTTTGTTCGGTGATGTGAAAGTCACTTTATTCTGACTTTTGGCCCACGTCTTGAAGTCTGAACACGCCCGGCAAGGCTTATCCTCATCAGAAGCGGAATGACCAGGCATCTTGGAACACTTGAGGCTACGCAAGTGCCCATGTAACGAACTGTATTATTGTGCAATATTTAAGCTCGCAGTATGTGCTGACACTACATTACATTCACGTCTATACGTCCAGCTAAGGTAAGCAATGTACACTGTAGTCTAAAACTAATATTACTGGTTGAAATATTTATGAATTCGCCGGTTTTTGAAATATTTTCAATTTGTGATGTAACTGTCAAACCAAATTGTCAATTTGGCACGTGAAGTTGACATCGCTTGACGGATCGAGATCAATGTTGCAAATGTATAAAAAATAATCATAGACAATGTTATTTATTAATTACTACTACTAGTACTTATTAAATCATTAAATATAAAAATAAGGATATAAATACGTTTTGATATATTGTTAAATAAACTATAGGCACTCGGATCCCATGTACCTAACGTCTCAGATATAATGACCTGATGGTAAGCGATCAGCGCCGCCCATGGACACCCGCAACACCAGAAGAGTCACAGGTGCGTTGCCGGCCTTTTAAAAAGGAGTACGCTATTTTCTTGAAGGTTTTAAGGTCGTATAGGTTCGGAAATACCGCCGACGACAGATTGTTCCACAGTTTTGCTGTGCGAGGCAGGAAGCTACGTGAGAAGCGCACAGTTGTGGCCTGCCAACCATCTATATGATGGGGATGCATATGCTGTCGTGAGGGTCGATGGCGAAATGATGCGGCAGGTAGTAGGCATCGCCTGTGCTGTCATCCGCATAACAATGAATGCCGCTGATTTGCAGCATGTCATTGATATGAAGGAGGAACAATGTAGGCGATAGCACGCAGCCTTGAGGGCACCTGCGTTTACAGACATCAAGTCAGAGCATTCACCGTCGACAACAACCTTAATGCTTCTGTCTGCAAGGAAGCATTCGCATAATTTCTCAAGAAGCCCGTAGGAAGGAAGCTTCGAAAGAAGCGCTCTGTGCCAAACCCGATCGAAGGCCTTCCCCACGTCCAAACTTACTGCCAACGCTTCCCCCTTAGACTAGATCGCTGGTGCCCACCGATGCGTTAGGTAAACTAGGAGATCACCAGCAGATCAACCTTTAAATCGTATTGCTGGTCACCGAGCAGCTGATGATCCTCTAAGTAACGCAGGAGCTGGCAGTTAATAATGGACTCCATTATTTTCGAGAAGAGGGAAGTTATGGCTATCGGTCTGTAGTTAGACGGATTAGATCGTGTGTGGATCGTGGGTGTCGATGCAGGTTACATCCCACACCAAAGACCTTCCCAACTTCCAGGGCATAATGGACACATCACACCGTCAGGTTTCTTATCATCGTCACGAGCCCTTTAATTCCAAAGTGGCTGGCACTCCGGCTATGACACGACGGATAATGTCGTTAATGCCGGCTTTTGCAGCACGATAGGCCGTGGTGACCGAGGTGGTCTGAGTAACTGCATCACTGTCAAAGCGGTGAGATGGGTGCACAGGGTGCACCTAGACGCAAAAAAAAAAAAAAAAAAAACGCAAAAAACGGGCACTTAAATGGCTCAAACAGCTAGCGTTGGCCCTGATTATATCAGTCTGTACACCATTCTGGTATAAACATTTATTGATAATAAATGATAATATTTACATTATGATTCATCAAATAAAATGCATTTTATATAACTAATATATATTTTCACAAAAAAATTCATTAAAAATAACGTGTGTCAACCGCACCGCATATATGTAGTAAGTACTGTCAGACATTTACACTTACAATATTATTTTAACACTGACCTCGTAAAATATGAATTGACTAGGTCATTTATAAATAACGGCATAATAATAATAATATGTTTATTTAATAAGGCTTCACAATTTTGTAATAGAGGCTCAACTGGAGGTATTTTCACAAGTGGCAACGATTTCTGTAACAAAAAGTTTTAACGTAAAAAATAAGATACAAAATAATTGCATATTTTTATGTAAAATGTGTATTGACTTACTATCTACAATGCTGCGTAGTGCTGCAACGGCAGGGGAATTGGGTAGCTCCTGTAGAAAGTCTCGTCCGTCATCGCAGCACCTCGCTAGTATGGGGTCTAGGGGCAAACTACCCAGTAGCGGCACGCTTAGCTCTGAGCACATTTGAGCAGCTCCACCCGTGGTGGCCGGGAATATCTCACTACGGGTCTGGAAACAGGCATAATAATTTGTCTATTAGATCAATACGGTTCTATTATTATTGCTATAGACTTGAGTCGCCAGTGGCACCACCACCTAGACGCTTTAGAATTTTCTTAAATATTAGGTACTAGTACCAGCCACAAGCTCCAGTCACGCCTATTTGATCGACATAAAGTAACAAAATAATAACTTGATTTCTATCTGATTTCTTACGGGAAAATTGATTCTGGACGAAGCTGAATAGTTTGTGAAGATTTCTGTAACGCGAGTAAAGTTGTGGGCGGCTAAGTAATAATAATACAATTTCAAAACGTACCTTGCAGTTAGGGCAGACAAACAACGACATATTTTCAAGCACCCCTAACACAGGAACTCCGAGTTTGGTGCAGAATTGCAGTTCCTTCCTGACATCTAGCAGGGCCACCTCCTGCGGCGTCGTCACCACCAGCGCGCCGTCCAGCCCGGCTGATGTCAGGTACTGAACTGCTGAGAGGTGCTCATCTGATGTGCCTGGAACAGGGATTTTATGGCTTATGGGGTAAACTAGCAAACGGATCGCTTGATGGCTAGCGATTAACACTGGACACTCACGCCCATGGTCGCTTGCCAAAGTAGAGAAGTTAAAGGACTAGGACTTCTAAAGTAATTACCACTCGCTCAAAGATGTAGTCTTATAAAAAATTTAATAACTTCTGATGAACTAGCAAAAGGTGACTGGATCGCTGCGGGCTCTTTATCGCGTTAAAAACTTGCTCCCGTCCGACACCAAGGCAATGCTGGTACAGGCCCTGTTGTTCCCTATTATAGATTATGCTGATGTGTGTTATTATGACCTGAATGCAGATCTCCTCAATAAACTTGACCGACTTCTGAATAACTGCATTCGATTCGTTTTCAACCTGCGTAGATATGATCATGTTTCTGCATACCGATTGCAATTAAAGTGGTTGCCCATACGACAGCGCAGGGAACTAAGGGCGCTAACCACTCTTTTCTCTGTTCTTGACTCGCCTCATTCGCCTCATTATCTGTCCTTTCACTTCCAATATACATGCGCAAACCACAGCAAATATCTTCGCTCTTCTAATAATCGCCTCCTTCAATGTCCAACACACCGTACTAAATTTCTTCATTCCTCCTTTTTTATTCAGTCTATTCTTCTGTGGAATGCGCTCCCTCCCGATATCAGGATGGTGCCCAGTCGTTTGTCATTCAAGCGGAAGGTGCGGGAGCTACTTTTGAAGAGATTGGCAGAGTCGTAACTATCAATATACCTACTATGTATAGTTATGTTACGTCTAAGTAGTATATGTAATATAATTGTGTATGTTTATTATTATGTCATATACATGTAAGTTTATATAGGGATTTATTTTATGTAAGTTTATACTATCCTTTTTTTATGCATTTCTGTAGTCTTAAATACGCTTGCTTCTTGCATCGACCATTGTTTTTGTCTCTGCATCACCCAAAGGTCTGGCTGGAGGAGAATGCCCTAGGCATTAAGCCCACCTTGTACAATAGTATGTGCATGAAGTCTTTTAAATAAATAAAATAAATAAATAAATATTTACCTGGAGGTGTGTCTATTAGCAGATAGTCCAGGTCCCCCCAGTCTACTTCACTTAGAAATTGCTTAATCATACCTGAAACACATTTTTGTATTGTAACTTTCGTGAGACATACTAATAAATTATTAAAAACTAGTCGAGTTCCTCGTCAAATTACTACGTGAGTAAGCCGAAAACATAATAATTTGAAACACATTTTTTCAAATTATTTAGTTATTTGATATTGTTACCCATAAGTTCTTTCTTACTCGCCCACCATCCCAATCTACTGGTCATGGAATTACTTGACAATGTTAAAATTGTGAAAAGGATAAAGCGACACCTTATAATATAAGTGACAGCAGGCATTGGCCTGTTGCATTTAAAAACCACATCCCACTTCACCACATCTGATTATAGTCTGGCGACTGATTGCAGATCAACATATTATGAAAAAAACAAACAACAAATTGTTCTTTCTAGTACCTATAGTTAATATTATCTATCTACTATAGGTATAACGTCGTTACAATTGTTGTTTAAAAGGAAGAATTATAAAAATAATTTACAGATTAACAATGCACTCACCATTTTTCTTAGGTCCTCTCCATATGACTGCATCATCTGGGCTTCCCAATAGAAAACCAATCGACATCAGGGACAAATTGTCTGTGACGTACTGTGGACAGAGAAGTTAAAAGATAATATTTTTTTATTTGAAGTTTATCAATGAACTAGCTACTTCCGCGCAGTTTCACACGCTCTGCTCGGCTCCTGTTGATCGTAGCGTGATGTTTTATAGCCTATAGCCATCCTCGATAAATGCGCTATCCAACACAAAATATAATTATTCAAATCAGACTTGTAGTTACGGAGACGCGTATCGCGTTCAAACAAACAAACAAACAAAAAACCAAACTTCCGATTTATATAATAGTATAAGATTATAAAGTTTTACTTGGACTTTAGATTTGAACGCAACACTTATTCATACTTGTGGCAACAACTAAGTTAAGTTAATTATTATGTTTTGTGGCTGACTCGCGTAATTATTTGACGAGGGACTCGACTAGCCAGTTTAAGTAGCAGCGCGATTAATCGTTGTTTTTTTACACACAGTAAAGCTCTTTTGTCTTTATTACGCTGTTAACAAATTTTAATACGACTTATAGATTGAGATCAAACATCAAAGCTTTCAGGAAATAATGAAAAATTTTAATAATGGACAAATATTTAGTGGTCGTTAAAGCTGACTTTCATACAACCATATTGACAACAGTATAAACTTATGACAGCTTTTTTAAACAACAATATTGTTAACGAAAACCTATCATGGAAGATAGATGTCGATCACGGTCAATGAAAAGATGTTTCTAAAGGACTTTAAAGGAAATATATTTATCTAGCGACCCGCCCCGGCTTCGCACGGGTGCAATATGCATGTTTTATATATATATGTAAACGTTTCTTAAGAATCACTCTATCTATTATACAAAACCGCATCAAAATCCGTTGCGCAGTTTAAAAGATCTAAGCATACATAGGGACAGACAGACGGCGGATAGCGACTTTGTTTTATACAATATAGTGATTTATATTTATTATGACACCCTTACAATACGAGGGGTTGCATTCCGCAAAAGGAAAACGAAACCATTTGTAATCAGAAGGTCGCTTTAATTTGTCAAATTATCAATAGAAAACATGACATCGCGTTTTGTAATGCTGACTCATAATTTTAAGTAATTGACAAATGTACAAGTCAGTATTTAGATAAACGTATCTGCCGAGCAAAGGGTTTTGGGTTCCAATGGAATCATGTATTAGTGTCAATAGGGTAGTTTCCAAGTTTAGGAAATTAAAAATCTAATTGTTCCCTCAGTTAGATAATGAAAAAATATTAGACACGTATTTTTTTATTTACTCGTGTAAAGTTACGATACTTAGATAAAATGGAGTTAAGTTTAGGAGTGGGAGGTCGTTACATCACAACGTGCTACATTTTGTTGCACGCTGTGACGTCACACGACATTTCAAATCAATACATTGTCGAAAGCATTTAATTTTGGGAGAAAAGAAAAAAGTACGTGTCTAATCTAATGTTTACAATAATCTACCAGACGGACATTAAAATAAAATTTAGGAAACTAGCCTATTGTGGAACCATTTTAGATGTGTGATTACCCGTGAAATTAACTTTAGTAACTATTAAACTTAGGATATAACAGTTTTAATAAATAACTTACAACAGGGGACCATCCTGATCCGGAGTTGTGAACTTGTTCGCCGCGCACTCCCAGCACGCGAGGCTGGCTAGGTCCGCAGATGTCCGCGTCCAATATACCCACCTGCAAATCATTACACTGGTTTTAAATATTTAAAACTAACGAGCGTTCAATTAAAGTACAATTAATGTGTTAGCGTTTTCGACTGCCGAACAGTAAATCCATAATGTACACAAAGCACCGCTAATTAGTTAGCGGCGCTACACATCGACACAACTATCATTTACACAATATACATGTGTGGGTAATTTCATATCAATAGATATGTATAGAAACATTCGTCTATCACACACATCTTGGTATTTAAAAATCATTTTTGTGTCGGTATACGCAATAATTTAGTAAATAAGTTTAAATAAAAACGAGGGTAAAGATAAAATTACTCATAACAAACTTTGAATAAATCGAAATCAAAAATAATGAACGATCGAGCTATACAATACCCATATAAATATAGTGCTTTCTCATTGTAATTTTATGTTACTGAATGATATAAAATATTTCGATGATCTCATCTACAGCGCGCTTGGCGCAATGGTTATCGCCTCCAATTGTCAAGTAAAGTGCCGCCGGATCGATTCCAACATTCACATGTTGTTTTAGAATTAATTTATCAAATATTTGAAATTTGAAATTAGAAACAATTAAATCTTTTCTTTTTTTTCCTTTCCTATTGTTCTAAATCTTATGTTAATTTTAATAGTAAATACTTTAGATTTATTTATACCTATAATATCTTTTATTTATATTTTAGTTCTAGTTATTATTTAGAATAATCTCATTTGCTTCATGCATTTCAACCAACTTAAATAAGATAAAAACAGTAAAAAAGTAATTAACTGTGATTTCTTAATGGTTCGATACCTGAGTATATTTGCAATGTTTGTGGCGACCATAGAAATCTCGAGTCATTTTATTTTACACGCTTATGAAGTAACTACCGACTATTTAAAACATGTTTTTCAAATCACCCGACTTACAAAATAATTGCGTTCTTAGTTGTCAATTTATGAGGATTTCATAGTTTATTGCTACACTACTTATATTCGTGTGCAAAGTTATTTTTATTTTTACAAGATGTTCCAACACCTATCAACATTTAAAAAGGCTGAAACCATTGTTTTGCATGAGCAAAACATAACTAACAATAACTGAAATAGCAAGGCGTTTAATGATATCGGTGAGTAAATAAGATACTACGTTGATATTCTAAATAATATTTATTTCATTTTGTAACTCGACACACCTATCAATTTTTGCACTAGAATAAAATAATTATTGCAACTTATTATGAAGTTCAATATTATAAAGATATATTAATAATTTATTATTAATTGTATTGTAACTTGACTTGTTTTTGTTAGGAGTGTTTCTTTAAAACATATCTGGTTAGGGATTTTTATTCCTTACGCCACTACTTAATTATAAATTATTATTCTAACATTGTGTTTACTTATATTTATTATTATTTTTAAGTAACTTTAATTCCTGTAAAGTATTTCCTGGTATTTTAAATACTTATTTGTTTGGTATCAACAGAGGAGATCCATGCAGTTATGGGTGCACAGATATGCGGAGACCGGTGACGTTAAACATCGTCGACGTGGGCCTAAACCAAAGGCAAATTCATCGGCTCGGCACTACGACATCGTAGCCAGGCACATGGCTGATCCGTTCCTGCCAACCCGCACTACAGCGACAGCACTGAATGTTTTAATACAAACTGTACGGAGACACCTGCATTCTGGTTTAAGGTGCAGGAAGCCAGAGAAGAAAATATTGTTATCTGTGGTTCACCAGCAAAAGCGCTAAGAATTTGCTAAGGACTTTATTAATTTTGATTGGGCGAACAGTGTAATCATATTGAGCGACGAAAAGACTTTCAAGTCGGATAAGGATGGGCGTAAAATATTGTGAAGAAAAGATGGAGAAAGGTATACGAATTGCAACCTTCTGCCTTGTAGGATCAGTGATTGTATTGATTTCGGAATCAATTATTGAGCCTGTCAAACTCTGCCTTTATTAAAATTAACATAAAATAATGTTTAATTTTTTTAAGAATATTAAAATGCTGTCTAGAACATACGGTGAAGTGATGTTATTGTTTTGTGGTTAGAAATTGTCATAATTTCTTTCTATTCAACATGTTTATTCACTTCACTTTAATTTTTCATTAACAAATTTATTTAACTGCTTTCGAACTTGATTGACATATTATATTTACGCCCATCTTCAATTAATTTAAAGTTTCCCTGATTCTAAAGGTCATGAAAGTTAAAATCGTTCCATAGCATTCGTCACATTCTTTTTACTATCATACAGCCCACTGAATATTGAACCTTATAACAACCGTCGTAAAATAGATAATTAATGGAAGTTCAAACGACAAAAAGTCGCCCATTTCAAGAAATATTATGTTGACAGTGTAATTTTTTACATGTTTTACTTGTTTATTAACTGTAAAACTGTAATTTAACTCGTCGAGTACCGGTTTTATAGACACAATTAAAGAACAATAGGTCGCGGTCACCGGTGACCGCTTGGTGTTTGACAGTTTAATAATACATTATATTATTAAATTATAAAACAAGAATGTTGTATATTTGTTTATTACTTAATAAAAAATGTTGCTGCCATCGTATTACCGCTGTACCGCATGATATTTCCCGATTCGACTCTGAGGTTTATTGTATCTATTAATTATGATTTAAAGAACTTTAAACTTAACATGTGGTATATAATTAATTATTAGATATAAATATTGAATATAAAACAACATATTTGTATAATAAATAAATTAATTGTAATAAAAAATAGTATTGTTTTATTTACCAACTCATTTGCTTCTTTTATAGCCTGATATTTATATTTTATGACAAAAAACAAAAAAAAAATAAGAAAAATAACAAGGTAAAATAAAATTAACTTTTAGCTGGAATAGAACCCACATCATTGATCCTTGAAAGACGATAAAAGCGTGCTCATTAACCAATCGACCACGAGCACTACGATAATGACAGTGAAAATGTCGGGTCATATCAATGATTGTAAATAGTTTTAACCTTACCTATGCATTAAATTATAAAAATACGTATACCGACACAAGAATGAAAATACCAATGTGAACGTGGTGGACGAATATTTTTATATACAGTTATATGAAATTACGCACACATGTACACTGTGTAAATGACAGTTGTGTCGATGTGTAGCGCTGCAACTAATTAGCGGTGCTTTGTGTACCTACAGCAGGTTCGATTCCCACACGATATAAATATTCGTCTGATTAAAAATAAATGTTCTGAGTCTGAGAATGCAGTGTTAGTCGAATTAGTTTGTAAACATACTTATCGACACAGGAGAGAATCATAGAGCAATAGAACACCCAAAACTCAAAGCATAATTTCTAACAAATTACATGTATCATATGATTATAGACAAAATAATATAGACGCTATGTTTTCGTGGTTGCCATTGCCGCTATGCATCGACCACAATAAATAACCCATAAAACCTGACCTATATACGACCCACGAAGGTTGTACCAGCCCGTGACATCGTCAACTTGGCTGAACCGTTGCAAAATCTTTGCCGCCGTACCTTTGGAATCGATACACGTGTAATCTGTGCTTAGTTTCTATTTAAAAAAAAGTAATTTACCGCGAAAATGGAATTCGGAAACGCATACGAACGACGCTCGAGATATAATAGGGTAATGGAGTTTATAATTATTAAAAAAGTATTTAAGTTTTAATTAAGTGTGAAATTAAACAGGTGCACATTTCTATAGTCATTAAATAAAACTATTAACATAAAACATGACGAGTTTATACATAGGTATGCCAAATGTTTTTAAGTGATAAAATTGTGCTCTTTGAGACTTTAAACTCTGCCGAAAAAGATATGCATTGCAATTTGAACCAGTTTTCTCTAGTTAGCTCTGTGCATAAGTAGCTATGTCAATAAAAAATCTCGTTGGATAACACAAGGGTTATCCTGTAGGTCAGCCACACCCTCTATCACTTGAGATATATTTTGTTTACTCAAAGCTATATAAAGAAGTCTCCCAAGTACATTGAAGTGCATTGATATAAAAGGTTCAATGGCTTCCCTAGATAACTAGTGATTGATTGACTATTATTCTAGCTTTTTTAATAGAGTTGTTGATGTTTTTTATCTGTATCTGAACCCAGGTCATAGGCTAGGCTGCACAGAGGAATTAATTTATTCTATGTACACAAGGAAAAGTGAGGAATTAAATGTACTGTACATTCTTGTAAGATATTTGTCTCAGTCTTGTGTCCAAATGAAATAATGTTTCATCTTGAATATGTGTTTTGTTTTATAAATATAGTTTTAAAAATTTCTTGAATAACTAAGTCAAAAAGGCATAGTTAACTCGTCGAATACCGGTTTTATAGACACAATTAAAGAACAATAGGTCGCGGTCACCGGTGACCGCTTGGTGTTTGACAGATTAATATGACTAAGATTTATCATATAAAAGGTTCTTTAAAAAATAATTACATACCAGACTTCATGATCATTGCTACTCTATTCAAGCCACAACTAACATAACTGGTCAATAACAACATTATATAATTATGTATGTCAGTTTAATAGTTCTACTTACATTAGCCTCAGGGTTTCTGGAGGCTAAAGCATGTCCAAGTAGAGAAGTAACAGTACTTTTTCCAACTCCACCCTTGCCAGAGAGGATTAATATTTTATGCTTCACATTTGAAAGACGTTCCTTGATTATCTGTATTGCTGGGTCAGGTCCAGAGGCAGCACCTGTCAAAACAAGAAATAAGTTTTAGTATAAATAGTAAGTAGTAAGTTCTGAATATAGAAATTTGGTTTAGTCAATGTGATGTAACACAATCTAGCAAGTGATTGCTTGCTGCAAACAAACAAACAAAAGTAAATTGCAGAATTATTTTGTGTATAAATAAATAATTTTTCACTTGATCTTGTATTTAGACACATGAGATAAAAATACATTAAAAAGTAATCAAGTACCTACATATTTATTATAAATAAATTTCTAGTAAATTGATAATAAAGTAGATAAACACAGTGAAATAGAAATTTAGGAATGACTATATTTGTTTGAGGTTGAGGTCAGATAATGAAAGATAGATAACATTAGACCAGTTTAGAAACCACTAATTGCATCAGTATTCATGTATAAAAGTCATTGTGGTGAGGACATTACAATACCCAGATAACTCAAGTGATGATAAAAAAACATTTGCAAGTAAAATGTTAACACATCTCCAAACATTGATAACAGTAAAACAGTGATAAGCTTGTTGTTCAGTTATTGATTTTGGATTCTATCATATTTACTACGGTCAATTTTACAGTCAGTTAGTATAATGTATGTGATTAAATTTTAGACAAAATATGACACTTTGATTTAAGTAAGCATAATAAGCTGAATCATTACTTTCAGCAGTTATTATATGAACTCTACAATAACCATATAGTGTTAACCAATAAGGTCAAACTAGTCATGACAAACAACAAAATATATGTCTACAAGTCAAAGTAAAAAATAATATGGAACTTATTATAGTAACTATAACTATATAACATTCGAGTACAATCTTTCTGAGATTTTCTACTGCAATAACTAGCCAATATAATTAGATTATAGCAATAAATAAACAGTATTACTGATATGCAACAGGTACAAACTTATGCAAATAACTAATGTAATCTAGCTATTTGTTTTGGTACTAACCTGATGCGCATATGTTCTGGTTAGGGCATCCAGCACATGCTGACGCCTTCCCAGCATCGTCACTTTGTGTCCCAGGACAGTCTATAAACAAACAATTAGAATAATTAAAATTCTAATAAGTCCAAGGGTTATGATTCAGATTCCGATTCATTACTTACGTTGTGGCGCGTTGTCGGGTACCCCACTCATATTGACATAAGGCTGATTAAACAGCAACTATTATAAAACACCGCAAATATCCTTCAATAACAATTTAATTAAAATTCTTAAAAATAAATCGAGAGCACAACGACAAGCACTGTTTTGAGTTTTGACAAAACTAAATCTAAATGTGATTGACACTGACACATGACATTGATACTGTCAAATCTCGAGTGCTTAGGTTGGACAACCTGATAAACCATAACTAAAAAATTGGCGAACTTTTCAAATTGTTAAAAAATTTAAGAAAAAAGTCTTGTTATTGAGAATTTATCAATAAAAAAGAAAAATCACTTATTCAACTGAGCCGGGGATCAAACCCTAATGTATCACATGTTAAGAGCTCACTTTAACGATAGTTAATTATTATTTTGCTAATTGATCAGTAAATTAAATAAAATGGTCTATGAAGGTTTACACAAAAATCATTAAAATTTATGTACTAATGACGGGATCGAGATGTCATTTTTTTATGTTACCTGATAATTAAAACGTAACGAAATTTTCAATTTTGATTTTTCATTTTTTCTTTCTGATGAAGTAATAAGCTTTTTATCAAAATTTACACTCTTTCGGTTTACTACAGCTTACAAAATGGCTAAGGAAGTTTCTATGTGCACGGTAATATCTCTAATAAATCTCGTTGTTGAGATTAGTTGAGGCGATTTTTTCATGAACTCATTCTACCCATTTTTTATTTTATAGCAACTCCAACAATGGAGTCCAGTAAAGGAAACGGCTGGGGCTCCAAGTGTACCCCCACAAGTCGGCTATTGTTTTCATTCTCCAAAGAAGCACCCTTGGAGACCTATTATGGGTTACGAGGAAATTGAAGTCACCCCTATGTAAGATTTTTTTATCTCACTAAATATAAAACTGCACATACAGTAGCCCAGTAGATAGGTACCTAAGTGACTACTTAAACTTAATCCTAAACAAGTAAGTTTTCTTATGGAATAGGAGGCAAACGAGCAGACGGATCACCTGATAATAAGCGATAAGCGCCGCCCATGGACACTCGCAAACTTACTTTCCTTCATTATCTTTTTTCTCAGGCCATCTCAGCCGATAACAAATACAATGGTGGATCCGTGCTATACTCCGGCGGGCATGGCTGCAGAACCGCTGCGCTTCCCCAACCTGGTGACAGGGTTCGACCGAAGCCCTGAGCATGCCGCCCGCGCCGCTCTCTACACGCGCTACACACAGTATGAGTGGAACCAGAACAGCATCAAGAACTACAACGAATCTGATGCCAAGAGGAACTTCTCCGAACGCGTGAGAAATGATATCATGAGGATGCTAAGGTAATAAATACAAAGCACACATATGGCTAATCCAGGAAGAGAAAGTGGATCTAACTGTTGGATTATTCCAGGGAAACTGATGAAATCGGAACACAAGGACAAAGGGACTCGGGTAGGAGGATTGGTGAACGTATTACCGATACTACATTTTGGAGGAATGAGGCGAGTACTTATTAAAAGACTTCCAGATTAGATCACTTGCTTTGGAGCTTTTCAACCAACACATGTTTTTTATGGGCGCCCGATTAATAAAGTTTTACTACATATTTGAAAATGCTAGGTTTCAATAGAAATGGAGCGTTTAGTGTCGACGTGTGAGAAGCTGAATGACACTCGCCGGCAGTTAGAGCGCGCTATCGCGGGCATTGAGGGTCCTCTACACATCGTGCAAGAGTGCCTCTACCACAGGGAGAAGAGACAGGGTGAGAAAACGTTTTCTGAATAAAGTTCTTTATATTGTTTTTACAGTTGCGTAGTTAATATCGCTAACTCATTAGCAGCTCTTTGAAGTGAGAACTCACTTGCACTTTTCCTTCAGGTAGGTATAAGCCATTCGTGTCCTTAGCCAAGAAAGTACCTACATTGTTGTGTCTAACGTTATTTCTCTACCTTTAGGTTTAGAACAGGTGCATGATGCAGTGGAGCAGTCGCTTCTCAAGGAAGTCGCTATACTGCGCGAATGTCAGGACAAATTCCGCAATATGCTCGAAAAGGTAGGTTACCACAATGCAACGGTATTATAAGTAGGTACATACATTAACGTCAACAGGGTGCTTACTCTTGAAATCAATTTAAAATCTCAATAATTATTCAATGTCTACACTATACAACCACAATCACAATAGTGTTCGGAGTACGGAATATGAAGCCAAATTCAATACCATTTAGTTCATTCAATATCCACGCAATACGGATACAATGGGCGCTAGTGTTGCGACTCAAGGGTACGAAATTTCACAATACCAATGTCGATCGATTGGAATTGGATTCAAGAGTAAGCCCCCAGGTCTTGGGAGAAACTTTATGCACATATTTCTTATAAACCAGGTGCGGGCACAATCCAAGAACTGTCGTGCGACACAGCATGAGTTGGAAACCGACATGCGCAACAAGGAGTACGCGCTCGGCATAGACTCCATGTGCCACCAACTGAATAACTTCTCCAAGGTACAGAGTTAACACATCGTTCTAGTAAGCACATTCTTAGGTAGCTATAATAAGGCCCACTAGGCCAGGCCCACAGAATAAATATCTAGTAGAACCTGGGTACGTCGTAAGACTGCGACCAGACGTTGAGCGATGGGCATCAACAGCCATAACATTTCAGTGACTTCCAAGTATCTGCTAATGCGGGAAGATCCTGATAAACTCTGTAGTGGAAGAACTTCATTCAATAGTGGGTATCTTCTAACTGATAGGGTAGATGCTAATTTTTATTTTTATGTCCGTCTGGTAGATTATTTTAAATCATTAGACACGTATTTTTTATTTTCTTACAGAAACGAATACTTTCAACGATATATTGATTTGAAATTTCGCGTGACGTCACTTCTATGTACATTTTATACGTAGAAATGACGTTTTACCCCCACTCCTAAACTTTGATTCGTTTTATCTTAGTATTGTTTTATTATACGACAAAATATTAATGCAGATATGTGACTGAGGCGACTTTCTGGTATATAGGGTCTTCAATTCTACGCGGGTATCGAGCGCTACGACCCGACAGTGTGCGACACGGAGCGCTGGGCGGCCGCCTCCGCCGCCACGCTGCAGCGCAGCCAGTCTGAACGAGCCAAGGCGATTCAAATGCTTACTGGTACTTCTATGTTTGATCGGCCAAAAATGACGAGTTGCAAAATATATTTGGACCAACACTCAAATTCTACGCCATAATAAAATTATTTTCCAGACACTGAGAATCTGATCAACGTGTCAGCAACGGAGATCTGGGACCAATGGAGCAACTCCAACAGTGCGTTCACGCGCCGCATCGCAGAGACAATTGAAATCAAGAACAAACTGCAATTACATCTGCATAAGGTCAGAAACCATTTTTTTAATGAACATCGTTATTTTTAACAAATTCCCCCCTCCCCCACCCAGTTCGAAAAGATAGTTTGCCTATTAATTAATTATAACAAAACGTTCCATTAACCCGTCGTATGCCGAAACGTAAATCTACGCGAGACACAATGCATTTTCTATTGTGTCTTATATACTGGCAGTCGAGCGGATAATAATTAAAGGTTCAAATATTTCAGATACAACAAGAGATCTTTGACATCGAGAAGACTCTAGAGTTGCTGAACAAGGCGATCGAAGACAAGCTGCAGCCCATGAAGGTGGCTCATACACGTCTGCAGGCCAGGACTAATAGACCGCATCTTGAAAAGTGCAGAGATGAAGCACAAAATAGGTAAGTAGGTCGTAATAGGTAGTATAGGTAAGAACAATAAAAATTTGATCTTTAGGGGAAAACGATAGCATTAAAAGTCTACTACAGGAATTTGACAGGTTGAATTGAAGTTGGTTGATGAGCTGGTCTGAACTTCTAGGTATTCTGATAGCTGGAATAAGTCACTAATTTTTTTAACCAATATTTTACAGATTGGTAAAAGAAGTATGCGACCTGCAAGAGACGATGGAGACTCTCCGCTCGAAGATAGCTACAGCAGAAGGCACACATCAGACTTTGTTGGGCGTCCGCGCAGGACTTGAAGCAGAGCTTCGTAATAAGACGACGACGCTGTTCATAGACCGTGACCAGTGCATGGGGCTCCGCAGGGGATACCCTGTCACCGCCGCCATTAAGTCCTAGACTGTACATATTGTGTAATATTTGTTTTTTTTCCGATGGGAAAATTTGAAGTGTAATAAAATGATTAAAACCGGACTAAAGGTTTTTCTGTATTAAATGTAAGTAGGCATAATTATTCTGAATTAAAAAATGTGTATGTGTAAGTTTTAATGAAATAAAAATCATAGTGAAAATAAAAACCAACATAGATGCTGGCTCATGTCTATTTCAATAATAAAACTTAACAAATTCATATTTCTGTACACAGCTCTACTCTCACTTGTAAACATACCTTATTTTCTTAAGGCTTTGGTTTACATTCTCTTTTAACACATTTTAAATCCATTTACAAGTGAATGTATAGTAAATTAGCTTCATTTATATAGAATCTAATACTCTTTACTTGACATATGAAGGCACAGGCAGTTTCATGCCTTCCTTAGCCTCAAAGAAAGTGTATGACAACACAATCTCATCCACAAACTCCATCTTTGGGTCATCAGTAAACTCTGGATCAATGTAGAAGAATACTGGCATGTCCACCTGGAAATTAAAAAATATTTTTGGTAGTTTGTTGATTAAATATAACCTTTATTATGGGGATTTCTATTTTATGATTTCTTCAATTAACTAATCAGAAGTTTCAATTTGACAATGGGTGTAAACAAGAATGTGGTAACACTTCTAATGGGTTATGGAGGGCAGATGGCAGTTACTTTACATTTAAAATACTGACATTCAGCTAAATATGGTTAAGACTGACGGTACAGCTGGTGCGGTGGTGGGACAACCGGCTGCCGCGCAAAGTGTCGCTGTTTCGGGTCTGGGTGTCAAGTGTATGTGAACTTCGAAGTTTGTAAACAATCCCAATGTTGCCCCACACAGGAGAAATTCCTAATATGGGGAAACATTGTTTTTTTTAAATAAAATCTCAGTGCCACCTCCAATATATTAGGAACAGGCTAGGAGGAAGAATGAACTACTGACTATTAATAAGAATGAGTACAAAACTCTTAAGTAGTCCTTAGATAAAATTTGACAGTTTGGTTGATCAATATGGTATTAAAAAATCCAGTACCTATGTGACAACAGGTTGCATAGCAATATTACCTTTTCATGGGGGTTCAGCTGTTGTTCCTCGAAGCAGAAGCACTGAATCTTGTTGAAGTACTGGCCGGCTTCAAATGGGATCACATTGTATGTGCTGATGCCTGTCACTGGCTTATTTGTGGGGTTCAGAGCAGTGTAAAATGCTAGGGCAGTTTCACCAGGCACCACCTGCAAGTTTCATATCAAATATAATTAAGAACATATGTTTTGTTGTTTACCTTTTGATGGCCATAGACCTCTTTAGAGGACAGCATCTACTATAATGATAAAATAAAAAAATATATAAATAAATACCTCATTGGCCCAGTGGTCGCAAGTGCGATTGCCAGGCAAGGGTTCTCAGGTTCGATTCCCAGGTCGGATAAAGTATTATTTAAAAAAAAATCTCAGTAGTAGCACAGATCCTGGAATTGGACCCGGTATATATGGCAATTGGCTTTCCTATTACATGGGACTCATAACATAAATAGTAAAAAGGGGGTTGTTATATTGTAAAGTGGCATCAAGGGCCATAATGTGCACCTCTGCCTACCCCTTCCGAGATAAAAGGTGTGATGTTATGTTAAGTTATAAATAAATAATTCTGACATGCGCCAGTACTGCAGGCAGTCACTAGTGTTCTACGAAATACTTTTTACTTTCAAGATAGAAATGTTATATTGAGGTATAGATCTGGAATGTTAACTCACAGTAATGTCCATCTGCTGAGGTTTAAAGTTCCACTGCATTGAGGATGCAGTGTCTGCGTTGAACCTGATCTTGATTGGTCTATTTTTAATGGCAGCCATGTTGCTTATATTGTCTGATTCCGCTAAACCTGTGGTGCCACCGTAACTGTAAGCCTGGAATTATTAAGTTTACAGAAAAGTGAGTGGTTTCATTCACAAACTTTTTAAACTACAACTATCTATCCAGTTAACCAGGTTAAGCAGTTCCTGAGGTTTGCTATACAGCCCATGAAATCCTATTGGTGTTTATGAACGATGGCAAAATAATAAAAGTTACATGATAGCGATTATCTAATGGAGGTTATCTGCTATCTCCAGCTTACCTGACAAAATATCCTGTATAGTGGTACAGCAGCATAACTTAAACCTACGGTCATTACTCCAACAGCTATCATATAGTTAAGTGTTGACTTAATTTTGTGCTTTTGTTCATGAGTTCCGCGACTAATAAATAAACTGGGCTGTATCGGCCTTTTGGGAGCAAGTATTGAGGAATTAATAACAACATTACTTCTTAATGTATTGACGTAACAACGATTCATACACACAAGACGGTTCATTGTAGTTGTTTTTAATTAACTAATTACCAAATAAATCAAAATATTTATTTCATTGTGCACAAGAAACTAATACAATATTACATTACATTCATTCCCACTTTCATATCTTTACGAAAACGAAATTCGATTCGATTTGACATTGACATTTTTCTATCTGTCATTAACTTTTTTACTGTGGAAATCTTTTAGTTACAAATAAAGACTGAAATAAAATAATTAATACTAACTATTACTAAATATATACAAAACAAAAAGATAAAAACGTAGAGCCTACAACTTTTTACGCATTTGGATGTCATCATTTATTATCACTTTTTGTGAAGTCTAATAAATAAATGTTTTGTTTTTATTTTACTGTGATTTAAGTACCTACATTTTTGTTTGTCATCTACTATTGTTTAATACTTTATTGTCTGATTTTTTAATTGAATTTTCATTGTATTTGTTTTATGTGATATTTATTTATGTGTTTTATTTTCTTCATTTTCTGTTATTTTAACTGTTTTATTTTCTTTGATTTCTCTTTGTATGTGTGTTAATGTAATTGGTGTAAAGCAGTGTTAACATCACAATAATAATAAATAAATAAATCATTGAGTACCTACCTATCATCATTTCAATGTTCTTTTTTTTCCTAGATTTTCGATTATTTTGTAATATTAGTCCACAAAGCTGCTATGTAATTGTTTATTCATAAAATAAAACTAATGTTTTATTATTACATTAACCATACGACAATAACGCATCTATTCATAGACAAAAACTGTGGGACGAGCAAGTAGAATGAATAGAAGAAATGGCGGCAAGTTTGAATAGTTGCTGAACCTAATTTGTGATACACCCAACCACTCAATAGAAAAACTGGTTCCGTTTCAGAATCTACAGTAAGTCCTTTATGATCATAATACTTATTTCAATAATAAGTTTGTAATTGTGAAGTACGTAATTAGATACATAGATAGGCTCGTTAAATAAGGTGTGAAAAAAAATCTACTTACGAATGTCTTTGAATAAAACTTCCACGTTCATAAAGATAATTAACGTTTAATATCACAATATTCTTAATACTTGCATGATCTTAAGATCATCGTTTATATTCTAATGCCATTAGTTTGTGTTTCGTCTTGATGTGAGCATCCGTGTGAGTCTTTTGATACGCTTTGTATGTACAATCGAGAAAGGGACATCTGAACATGGGCTCTTTGCCACATTCATAGGTCACGTGTCTTCGGTATGTACTTTTGTGTCGGTACTTCCGTTTACATTTCTCACACTCGTAAGACATATCGTATTGTGACCAATAGTTTTTTGTCTTCATGGGCATAATCGGCAACATATTTTGCATCATGGTTTTAAAGAAATCCACATCACCTGTAACAATGAGACGAAAATCTGATTTTCTTTATTTAATGAAGGTCTAACGAGATAGCTATAGAACACGTCAACTTTAACCATAAATATTATTATTTACAGGTTGAAAAATTACCTTACGCCTACGCAACAGCTAAGTACCTATTCTAAAGTAATTTAGAACATTACGTTTTCCATCTTTGCGGGAAATACATAGTCACCTAATGCAAGCGTAATTTATTTACAAGAAACGATTGCATTAGTGTAGAGTTAACAACCTGATTGAATTAAAAATATTACTATAATAGATCACTCTGTAGTTTTATAGCTTCTGAAAATAAAATTGGTATCTACTCAGTAAGATGGTCGATAATTTCAGGTGTTTGTTAGACAAACAAGTTATGTATTGAATCAAGAACATTTATTCACATGCATAATCCAATTTAAAAAGAACAAACCAAACACACTCGACTTCACTGAAAACAAATAAAAATACTTCAAACATTATTATTAATAATATAATATTAACATTATTTTGTGCTGCTCTCACTAAGACGTAATATCAAGTATGGTTTGCTTCGTCGTAAAGACGAATTATGTAATAAATATGACAAAAATTAACAGTTTGAGAAGATTGTCTGAAATTATTAAATACTGTAGAGGAACTTCGTCACAATTAACTAGCTATATGTTGCTGCCTTTTTGTAGATAATTTTACTTAGACGCGTTTGCAAAATTAATAAATGTGATGTGTCTGTGGTACTAAAAATATTATATTTTATTGCAAGTTCTTTTTTGAAGCTCCTGTTCCCCCTGACAGACAGACTAACTGACAATTTTTTTTTAATTGTGTGTGGATTTTTTGATATAAATGCTTTGACTTTGATGTAGACCAATCAAAAAAGTGGGATTTGCAAACACGTCTATAAATAGGAAACAAAATGCTTCTTTTAAGGCTACTACTAACTGTTTCACTTAATTTCTTTAGAAATTATCTTTGGTAGTTGAATTATTAGTTATTGATCTGTAGGTAACGTAATGTAATAATTTAATGACTAAAGTAAAAATAGATTTGTGAGTGTCAAATAATCTACCACCGATTATGTTAATATCTAAACTAATTTGTTGGTGGGTCTATAGGTTAAAAGTCGTAATAAAATATAAAATTCTATTCTATAGGTACCTACTTACACCATGAACACTCTTTACATTGTTATTTCAGATGGTATGTTCATATTTCTCAACAACACATTGAGAAGTTTCTCTAAAAAACTTAACATTAAATAACCATAATAATTTACTTAACAATAGTATATAAAATAATTATTATTTAAGGCACTAATTTCTTATTATGGCTAAGAATCGACTGGAAGATTCTTTGGTTTATAATATTGCATGATTCAAAATTTGAACTCTTTCAAGGTAACTTATTTAACAGTAACAAATGCAAATAATAAAATAAGACATTTTTAACAGAAATACTGTATCTGTAACCTATAATACATTGTTTCTGTCTCAAATTACATTGTAGCAATAATTTTCTTTGGTAACAAGGAACACACACTAAACAAACATTAATAACAAGAACAAGAAAATATAACAATCTATTAATATTATGCTCTATCTTTAAAAATATAAACGAAAAACACTCATGTCTTACGTATATACTGTTGTCTATACCTTAGATTATACTCTTCTGAACTGAATCAACATAAATACTCTGTGTAACAAGACATTAAATAAAGCTGCCGTTTAAGCTACCGAGTTTCGTAGACAGGAACCCTTATTTTATAAGTTAGTAATTATTGCTTCTAATAGTGACGTAATACTTGTTGTTAATTGCTAACTTTAATATACATTATTATGTTGTTTAAAGATTTGTCTTTCATATTATGTTAGGTACTGAATTTATTATATATTTTTACATTATCTCACGTTGAAATAATGATGAATAACAAATAGGTACTTATTGGTAACTGACGCCTTTCGATAAAATCAACTGTGGTATCAATTACTCCAGTGCGCTTCTTGGTATAAATAATAATAATAAGTCATTTACGTTGAATTCTTAGGTACTAGTTCTCTCATAAGAACAATTTGGTCTCATTTATTTTCGCAAGATACGAAGTAGACCAAAAGAGGGCACTCATTCGTTATTAAAGTTGTACTAAAACTAAGTATTAAGAAAAAAAAGTAAAAAAGTATGGCCGTTAAAGTATTATCTGATTAACTGCAAAGTTTTCAACAATGACAAAAAAACATTTTTGAACTAGGATTTTCGCATAAATCCATTCAAGATCGTATATCCTAAAATGATCCATTTAAAATACTGACATTACATTACATAAAGTTCCAGTTTATTAGACCATGAACAGATATTTCTAGGTGGGGGAAAATAGCATATTATGTATATTTTCTTATCAATTTATACCTAATTGCTTAGTGCCATCATTTAATTCGAATCGTGTTTATTTGGAAGAAAGTTAACATAAGAATAAGAATTTGTGCAAGTAAAATTAGAATACACAATGCGCCAATTTACCCCGACCAAGAAAAATCTGGCCATGGCGACCAATTGGCCGGGTATTTATTACAGGCATGCGTAGTACGGCCAGTAAAAACGAGTAAAATAAATTATTGACGGCACGATGTAGATTTTAGTGTTCGTAACAGTTACACATAAATATTCATCTACTATATTATTTAAAGTTTAGATATTTCGGATACAAAAATAAGTTATGTATTAGGCCTACATAAAATTCTTTGGCACTGAAGATTGCACTGGATACAAAATAATATCAATTTTTCCATATTTTCTTTAAATTCTCACCAATTTCTTGATTTGTTTGAGGTCTTGAGTTAAGTATAAGGTCCAGATGTTTCGCTTGTTGGTAACAGTTACAGCTGCAACAGAACAATAGTCAAACGCATTAATCATTATAATAATATTATTAGAGCTAAGTTAGTAATTAGAAAGATAAGTAATTATGACTTATATAGTGCTTAGCAAAAGTGCAAAAGTATATATTATTAATATCACATGCAGTATTATGATGTAATAGTATACAGTAAAAAAAAGCGAATTTCAACCCGAGTAGATGTAAAAATAGGTGAAAAAGTAGGTATGTTACTATAAGTTAGTCAGTATAGAGTTGAGAAAAGAATATTGAAAAATTGTATTAATAATATTAACTGATGGATTGTTATTAGAAACTGTGTTAGGTAATAAGGTTGGGGACACATATACTGTAGATTTGATTTATCAATAACTAGACCAAGAATTTTTTTTAAATGTCACGTATTGAGGCTCTGGACCAAATAATACTAATTACGTAGTTCAAGACAATATGGATCTTAGCATTAATATGCTTAACAAGAGGTAGATAAATTTAGTCAATATCAAACGGTTAGCGATTATTTGAATGAGCGTTAGTAACAAACGCAAACTTGAACTTGAAAGTTAGTTAGGAAATAACATTATTTATTACTGACATTGGAGGCCTTTAGCGGCGGGTCATTCAGACACGAAATCCACCTTCTCCGGCATATCTTTGTGTAGATGGCGCTCATGTAGCAACAGATTGTGCTTCTGATAAGCCCTGTACACACAGTACGGACACTTGAAACTTGGCTGTTTTCTACATTCGTATTTTATATGCCGTTGGAGTGAGCCCTTGTGCTTGTACTTGTTCCCGCAGTCGACGCATTCATACAGAGTCCATCCAGCTTTACCGCTGCTCAACCCAGGCGTACCATAACTCAATATATAAGGAGTGTACAACTGTGCAACTGAAATTAAAGGCAAATAAAAATAAATACGTGCACATAACAGCTACCACCGTGAAGTGTAAAGCGAAGCCACCGATAGAAAATGTGCTACCGTGTGAAAGCTTAGGAAAATGCACCATGTCTCCCATTAATTTGCTCATGTACTACTGATATTAATCTAACACTAGCTCCCTTAATACTAGTTTAAATTCGCATGCAACCAGATATGCATAGTATAATTTATTAGTTACAATATGAATTTGATTCAATTCATTGAAACTGTTAATTTCAACAAATCACCTTACACCTGAACAATGAAAGTTTTACATGCATAATAATATTTATTGAGTACTCAATGAAATACACATTACTCAATGCCATTAATACAATCTTTATGTCATTGAGTCAGAAGATAGACCCAGCCCTTAATTACCGTAGTTATTAAAACAAATACATACCAAGAATAGCAACTTTATTTAAAATACAAAAAGGTTATAAAAAATACAATCAAATGCATTTTAATCACTGTAACTTCTTATTGACAGTAAATTGTATCTACAATAACTACAAAAATATTCTAGGTAGCAATTTCTTAAACATAAAGAGTAACTAGGTTTTGTTCGTAACATCACTTGGGTCATGATACTGATTGGCGAGACGTAGTCGACTCAACATTCCACTGCTTTACTTCATCTAGCAACGCTTTTTACTTTATCACAGCTATATGTGCTTTATTCTGCATAAAATATATTGTATATTGTATTGTCAAGAGTATATACTAATATTTTTTTATAAAAACTAGTGATTTTATAAATTATGGTTGACCATGTACTGTTCATATCACAACCTAGAAATTTTGCAATAATAAGTTACGAGTCATCCATTGATTGAACCAAAAGTTTTTTACTGAAATATTTTAAACCCTAATGACTAACTTTTTGAAGGCACTTAGTTTTATACTGACAAGATTTATATGGTTGTACTTTGTGAACTCTACATTTTGATTGTATGATGGTAACTCCAGCGGATAATAATCTAATGTGGTAGTTTGTTGGTAAATTCACTCAATTGTAACTCGGTGTCTCTTGGCTGTAGTTTTAGTGTAATTGAATCGCTATAGAGCTAGAGCTACGACGGCATGAGTTTACATACATGCTACCACGTCCTAAACTTAAAAATAATGTCTAAATGGTAATGTATAAAATACTTATTCCTATGTGGAAGATAATGGAACTTCCTTGACATATCAACAT